GGGGAAGGAGAGCAAAACCCATCTGCCTCTGCAGGAAGAGTAGGAAATACCTCACCTCTGGTCACAAAGAGCCATTACTGCTAGAGGCGTAAGAGCAGATATCCTCGGACTTGGAGGAGGGACAGGAAAACCTGGGCCTAGGATCCTGCATGGGTAAGGCAGCTCCTACCACGGGGGATGGGCGTGAAAGTCACATGACGGGAGAGTGCCCGTTATTCTCAAGTGCATAGAGACCCTTCAGCAAGATACTCTGGGCTATAGAACAAACTTCAGTGGATGTAGAACATTTGAATCATACAAAGTATATTCTCTGACCTTCACAGAACTGGTAAAAATCAGTAACATATCGGGAATACCCAAATAATTTAACTTACCAGTGAGGAGAGGAAAATGAAAAGAGGGAATACCCAAGTAAGAAATTTACCTCTGATAAGAGAAATTAATTCCTGAGTAAGTGGAAACAAACCATGTTCATAGGAGGAAAGACCCAAGATGTTAATATGCCAATTCTCTCCAGATCGATCTTTAAATCCCATTTTAAATCCTGCAGGCTTTTTCATGAGAAATCTGTAATTCTAAAATGTACATGGAAATCCGTAGCATCTGGAATAGCCAAAACAATTTTGAAGGCAGAAATACAGGACTCAAATGACCTGATCTCACTACATACCGGATGGCAGTCATCAGGGCTGTGCGGCAGGTGCAGCAGGGTAGCGATATGGATCAATGGACCAGAAGGTGAGTCAAGAAACACCTACCTATACATGGCTGATTGATTCTGAACAAACGCATTAAGGTGGCTCAGTGGAGAAGTAACAGCCTTTTCGATAAACGGTACTGGGACAATTAGGCATCCACAAACAAAAAAAAAATCAATCGAGCCTTACCCTTACACCGTGTATAAAAATTAACTCAAAATGAATCGGAGACTTAAAAATTACAGACCTAAAATTATAAAAGTCATAGAGGTAAGTAAATAAAATCTCAGTGACTGTAGGCAAGGATTTCTTCAATACAAAAAGCACTAAACAGAAAAGAAATCGATAAAAATGGCCTTCATTGAAATGAAAAACCTCTATTCTTTGAAAGAGATGGTTAAGAATATCAAGAGATTAGCCACAGACTGGGAGAAAACATTTGTAAGACATGTTTAAGGAGTTGTATCTAGAATATCTAAAGAACTCCTGTAACTCAGTACTAAGACAACCCAATGAAAAACTTGGCAGAAATTGTGGATGGTAGATAAATAATATGAAATGATGCTCAAAATCATCAATTAAACAAATGCAAACTCAAGCTTCAATGCGATACTACTACATGCATTATAGCTAAAATTTAAAAACCTGGTAACAGTAAGATGTAAAACAACCAGAATCTCATATATTGCTAGTGAGAATGTGAAATGGTTCAACCACTTTGGAAAGCAGTTTGGCAGTATCTTGTAAAGATAACTTTATTCAACTCAGCAATCCTCCTAGATAAAATAAATCACGTCCACACCAAGGCCTGTATATGAATGTTTATAACAACTTTATTCATAATCGCTAAAAACCAGAAACAATCCAAATATCCACATAAATTGTAGTACATCCTTACTACTCAGCAGTAAATGAACTAACTGTTGATACATGGAACTACATGGATGAATCTCAAAACCATTAGGCTAAGTGGAGGGAGCCAGATAGGAAAGACTATATACTGCATGATTTCATTATATAGCTGTATTAGGGTTCTCCAGAGAAACAACCAATAGGAGATCTGTATCTCCATCCATCCATCGATCATCTACCTACTTACCTACCTACCTATCTATATTTATTACAAAAAATTGGTTCATGTGATTATGGTGTTGAGAAGTCCCAAGATCTGCAGTCATCAAGCTGGAGGCCCAGGAGAGCCAACGCAGTTTCAAGAAGAGTTGTCACCTGTGTGATAGGCTGTGATGAAAGCAGGTAAGTGGGAGAAGTTTCTATTGGCAGTATGGGGGTACTGCTGATTTTGGTACAGTTTTTGGGGAGCAGTGATGGCAGAAGCCAGAGTGGACTGTGAAAATCAAATATGGAGATAGATCTCTTCAACAAAACTGCTTTCAGAGAAATGGGCTGGTAGCTGGGGTGCTGTGGAGACAGCCATGTCTTGGAGTGGGTCCAGTGATCAGACCGGTGAGTCAGGAGGGCGTGATCAGCGGAGCGGTCAGGACCGTTGTGAATGAGGCGGAGGCCTCATGCAGTATTGCTGCTCATCAGCCATTTCTCACAGTGACTTTGTAAAGAATTACTGCATCTATCAAAGCAAGGTTCCGGGTAATACTGGTTCCAGAAACTAGAAATAAACTTTCCTTACATGCTTAAATAGCTTCTCACAGGGATTCACAAAATACCCAATTCTTTCCCCTGCAATGTGGTACTCATGTAAGTGAGGCCTGTTCTTGCTTTAGGGCTTTACTGAGTTGCATTAAAACTCATGGGTTATATAGTCCTTGTGCCTGTACTAGTATCGACTCCAGTAAACATCTTTAGGTGTCTGGATTTTCTTATTTATGATCTATTTAGGGCACTAGCAGAGAAAACAGCCATGTGGGTTTGAAGGATAGACTAGTGTTACAGGGACAGGCCTCTGTACAGGTGAGAGCCCTGAATCTGTCGGGACTAAAAGCCCATTACAACAAGTACCACCTGCCCTGGTTCGGGTTCCCCGGAAAGCATACCCTGAGACAAGCAGTAGGAGGGAGGCAGGGGGTGATCTCAGGAGAAAAGGGAGAAAGTGGGGGAAAAAGAAGATAAGGGAGGAAAAGCAAGAAGTCGTGATAATGACCGAGCAGGTGACTGCTGCAATCGCCTGGCACTTAATCTTGTGGGAGACTTCTGAGAGGCTTTGTGGAACAGGCCTCAGATTGTCCACCGGAGGAGGGGAGGCTGGGCCATTTATGCTCCATCCCACCAGGCTTGGCTCCAGGGGAGTAGCTCCCGTAACCCCCCTCCCAACCCACAGGAGAAGGAGCTGGCAGAGAGACCTGTAGGCATGCATGGCTATCACTGTAGCAGGAGGGTTCCAATGGGCAAGGCAATAGGTGTCATGTCAGTAGCCCCTGCTACAGCCCCTGAGACTCATGTATTACAAGGTGCTTCCTGTGCAGTGCAGTGGGGACTAGAAGAGCCTTGGCTCATTATGCCCAATTCTGCGCACTCCTGAACTTCAGTGGTTTTTGGGCCCCTGTGTGTGCACCTTTTTCTTCACCTGCAACCTGTACTGGGACTATGGGACAGTGAGAGCACCTGAAGAGCCATAATTAGACATCAGACCATCACTCTTAGCTCCCTTTCCTACTGTAAATGATCATGCCTCTCCCCACACGGACTTGGGGAAAACGACCTAGACTCTCACACCACCACTAAAACCAAGTGAACACACAAGGCCATCTAGTGCTTGAGAAAAAGAAAGCTGATGGCTGTCTGTTTTCCCCAACCAGAGATCATAGTCCGTAGGCTGAACAGGTCTACATAAGCCCCTGGAACTGTAGGCAGCTGTGCACATGGACACGGAGAGAGGCTCTATGACAGTCATATTCTCAGAAAGGTCTACGGCACCAAAGTAGAATAAAAACCACTATCCTGATTGATTCAGCAAGGGCCCCTCTTCCACTTCATTTATTTACTTCATGCTGAAGATCTGAGAAAAGGCAAGAATATGAATGGGATATGGAGAGGAGGTCTGGAGGCCCAGTGGGGATTGTTCGTAGTTAGGCCTCTCTATGTCACAGGTGCAGGGGCTGACTTGTGCCGCTCAGAATGCTGACGTCTTCCCAGGGGATTAGCAGATTACAAGGGAGAAGCCTCCTTGGTAACAAGAAATCAGCTAAAGCAGAAAGTTCAGGATTTCCATAGTCAGCGGCTGCCCGCCCTCACAAAGTGGTAGGGATATACCTGCTTCAGAGGGAACCCAGGCCCCAGGGCCGAATCTTACCTGCTTGGTGCCCAACAGGGCTGTGCCCACTTTGCCTTAGATTCCCATTTCTAGCCTCTGAATCAACCAGACTGAGCGACTTTCCTCCCTTCCCTACCCATTTTCTTCTCCAGGTATAGTAAGACATGCAATGTTGATATCTTAAGGTCTTCTAGGTCGTTTTGTTTAAAATGACCAAGAATGTATAACTTAGTTCTGATTAGTTCCGTGTTGATTTCCTGCACTAACGCTCATTTGGCCCTCTTTTGTCTCCCGTTCCCCGGAGCTCGTGCAGTACAGACCTCCTAGAGACCCTCTGAAAGCTGTTTCGTGGGTGAGATTTGGCAAGGCACACGTTTCACCTATTAAGTTGCCTACTCGTCCACCTGGGCAAGACATATACGGAGAGAGCGCAGGAGAGGATCGCTCAGCCTGGGGGGCGCGTTTGCTTCTGCTCTGCACAGTGGGGACGGGGAGCTGTATGGACAGACGGGAGTGGGTCGTTTAGGACCTACTGTGTCCCAGACACTGTGCCTGGTGGGGCCCGGGCCGGGAGGGGCCCTCTGTGAGCGGGGGCGGCGCGTACGGACTAGAGCACACTGTGCTGCGAGGACGGCGCTTGGTGCGAAGTGTCCAGGCTCGTCCATGTTCCGGGCAGGTGCCGCGATGGTTCCCTGCACGAGGCAGGCACTCGGCGTCGGCCGAGGGAACCAGCAGGGGCCGCTGTGGACTCGGGCTGGGAGCGCGGGCCCCGCGCACGTGGGTGTCAAACCCCAGGCCCGCCCAGCTGTCCCCGAGCGTCCCGCCTCCTGGGACCCATCCTTGCGCGGGGCATGCGGGGCCTGCGTCGGCCAGATGGCAGGTGCGGGGCGGGGCGCGCCTGATTGGCGGGGTGGGAGGCGTGGCTGGGCATCGGGCCTGGGCCGGCCAGGTGACACCTGCGGGGCGGAGCGCGCCGTGATTGGCGTGGCGGGAGGCGTGGAGGGCATCGGGCCTGGGCCGGCCAGGTGGCAGGTGCGGGCGGGGTGCGCCGTGATTGGCGGCCCGGGAGGCGGGGCGGGGCGGGCCCAGCGCCCGGAAGAGCCGCGGCGAAGGCTGCGCAGAGTCGCCGACCGGAGGGAGCGAACGGGCCGGAGCCACGGGGCGCGCCCAGGATGGACAAGCTGAAGACGGTGCTGAGCGGGCAGGACTCCGAGGACCGGGGCGGCCTGTCCGAGGTGAGCGGCTTCCGCAGGGGTCCCGGGAGCGCGGAGCCCCGGGGCCGGTGACGCCTGTTGACAGCGAGGGCCCAGGCGGGCGGGGCTTGCAGGGCTCCGTGGAGATGGGCAGCCGCGCCTCCTTCCTGCTCCCGTGCGGGGTCCCCGCGTCCCCTACGCGCGCCCCGCTCAGGTGCGGGCTCCGCGGGGCCCCCGCGCCTCCCACGGGCGCAGGACTTTGCACCGGGCGGTCGGCGTCGCTTTACTTTTTTGTCCTGCGCCCCTTCAGCCTTCCCGGCCCGGCCGGCAGAGGGCGGCGCTGGAGCGACACTCGGGGAGCTGCGGGGCTGGGCGGCCGCCGGGTGCGGCCTGCGGCCCTGGCCGGGAGCTCTGGTCCGTGTTGTGAGCCGTGGCCCGAAACCACGAGCCGCCGGGGGCGCCCAGCCACCCGCCATGTGCCCCCTGCACGGCGGCCCCGCGCCCGGGCCCTGCACGGTTGCTCGTCAGCGTCCGGTGGGGCCCAAACCCGGACACGCAGACCCGGGGCCGGGGATCCGCGCAGAGGCGCGTTTCCTACTAAGGGCGCCTCGGGCCGCTGTTCGTTTCCCTTTCCGGACGACACAGCTCCATGTCCCTTTACTCTTTGCGCCGGATTCCCTGGGCCTCAGTTTCCCCGTTTGTAGAACGAGGGTGTTGAGTGAGACGATTCGGCTTCTTCAGACGGGGATGCAGCCGTCCAAGTTTCTCCTCTGACTCTCCTCGGGGTCTCCCGGCGTCCTCAGCGCGCTTCCTCGACCCCTTTTGCCGCTGATTATATTCTGAGTTTCCAATGAAATCCGAAGACAGTGACGCGTGCCCTCCGAGTGCTCACCCCCAAGTCGGGACACTACAGGGACTGAGTGTGGTAGAAGTCGGGGTTCACCTCTTCCACATCTCAGCAGCTCCGTGGGTTCCTTCTAATTCGCTGCCCTTATTAAGTGGTCAAAGCCCAGGGGTAATTTCATGAGTTCTGTGTTTTTTGTTTCTGGCTTCTCTTGTGAGCTCTCAACTCAAACCAAAGACCTGGCCTAAGAAAACGGTAGCTGACGGAAAGCTTTATGCCCCGTAGATCGTCAGCAAGTTTTTACGGGCGGCTGGGTTTCCAGTGGGAGGCAGTTTCTCTTCTTGATATTCTTGGGGGGAGAGGGTGACCCGTGGGATGATGCAGATACTACATATTTAGAAAATAATCATGAAGCAGTGGGAAGACCCAAGAATGCATATAGTACAGGTTGAAACAGAAGTGCTGAGGGTTTTTAAAAATTTTTTTTTATGTGAAACGGTGACTAGACAGGCCTGTTCCGGACACGGTGAAGGGCTCTTGGGCGGTGTAGCTCTGGCACGCGTTCTGTCTTTTCTAAAAGGAGCAGGTGCTTCTTCCTGGTTCTGAAATGCTGTCGCCCGGTCCCTCTTTCAGGGTGTGAGATTCCTGTTTATGTACGTCACCAAGTCCCAAACCCTTGGGAAACATTTTGTAGCCAGCTGAATTGATTTTCAGAGTTGTTTTGGCCTAGCTCTTGCTTATGAGGTCATGGCTACCTTAAAATGTCAGTACTCACTCTGTTTTCTCCCAGTTCCCATGGTTTTGAGGCTGGCCAAGCTGGGGGATTTGGGGGCAGAATTTCTGTTTTGTGTGCTAAGTTGGAGTAGGTGGCCTTGAAGTCTTTCCAGATTCAATTATATGAGCTGTCAGAGGTCACCCCCAGGAGAGTGCTTTTTACAATTTTTATTCTTGTAGTGCAAACAAAAGTATGACTAGTGTAGCTGGAAGACTCGGTAATTATCAGCGTTGCTTTGTGACATGCAGTCACAGGGAGTGTCGTGATGATGCCTCAGGGCCACGAGGGCACCTTCCATCCTTGCTTCCAATGGGCTTCCCTCTAAAAGTGTAGGCTTTATGTTTGCCCCAGAGCGTCACAGGGACAAGGAAGGTATGCAGGTATCTGGTGCAAAAGCACAGGAATGATGCAATATTCCTCTCTCACCTGTCCCTGGTTACCAACCCTGTTGCCCCGAGCAGTCCTTAGCTGCACTTCTCTTTGGCAAGAGTCCCTCTTCTCTTCACACCTCAGAGTCGAAGGGGCCTTTGTGCCAGTCAGTCTGACAGCCAGTGAGCAGGTTGCCTCCAGGTACCACCCAGGCACTAGTTTAGCTACTCTGATTTCCAAAAACTACCCAAGCCCTGTTTCCAGTAACTGGGAATTGAGAGAGGCATTTTATATCAGCTGAATTGATTCCTAAATTGGCAAAAAGAAGTGTTTCGCTGTCACTGCATCCAGAGAGGTGGAACAGTATCTCCCTCCTGCCTGTAGGAAGAGAGAGTGTAAATTGCAGCCACGTAGAGTGGAAAATGGGGTGAAAGCTCTCCTCCCCCCCATTTTTGCAATAGGGTGACGTGCTGATGGAAGTCAGTCTGAGTGACTTGCAGGACCAGCACGCCACCCTCCTTCCTAAAGGCAGAAACCAGAACTGCTCCCTGCCGCAAGCGCTTTGATTTTTACAAGGGCTGTAGACCCCGGTCTTGTTGAGACTGGCTGGCACTCTGAATGCGAAGACGGGTTCCTATCTGAGCCCGCCCTGTGGCTGATCCTCTTAAAAAGCGGTGGAATATTTTAAAACATCCCTGCTGACACCAAGCAGTGCTCAGGCCATGAATCCAGCCCAGCCTGGCTGCCACCCTTTTCTCCCCATGTGCAGCTCCACCCGGGCAGGTAAGTTCTTTGGTTCCTGTGTGAGTGGGAAGAGTGGTGGCTTTGATTTTATTTTCTCCTTGGTGGGCGGTTGAACAGGTTAGTCAGAGGCCGTCTAAGCCAGCCGTCCGGGCCCATGTAGCCTGACAACGCTGCATGTGTGGCCTGCTTTGGAGGAGAGCTTTTCCACAGCCTGGAGCCTGGGGGCCCCCCTCGTCAGGTCCTAACACCCTGCTCCCGCTGCGCGTTCCCATCCCTGAGAGCCTTTCTGTGCAGGGAGCTGTGGGTGAGTTGCACATCAGGAGCCCACTGTCAATGTGTGTGTGCGTGGGGTAGGGGGGGAACGCCTGTGGTGCTGTGCCCCGGATGCCGGTCTCAGGAAAAGAGATGAGGCCGCCCACCTGCAAGGCCTGCCACACCTGGGCGCGTCTCTGGTCCTTCTCTCCAAGCTTCTGGTTTGACAGGAAGTTTGGAGACAGGCTTGAAAACAGGCCCCTGAGCTGGGAGCGGTCAGGGCCGAGGGAGCTGCCAGTCTAGGGACGCTTGCATTTCCGCTGCCACTGACCCCCTCCATCAGCCAGTGGAGACGTGGTCCAGAGCCCCACCACATCGCCAGATGGAGATGGGCTGGGCCGCAGCAGGTGAGCCCTGCAGAGACGGACGCCGGGCCTGGCCGCCCAGGCTGGCTGGTCTCACCTGTCTGTGCCCAGCATGGAGCGGCTGTGGTCCCCGCACCGGGTCGCAGGTGGGGACGGTCCCCAGTACAGGCGCCTGGCTGTCATCTGTGACATGGGAAAGAACCCTTGGGAGCCTCAGACTCCCCCATTTTAGGGGAGTTTCTCTGGAAATCTTGGCCTCCTCTGGACTTGCTCTTGGGAGGATTGGTTGTGGGGTAGAGTCAGGGTGAGCCGGGCAGTATTACCTAACGAGGCTCTGCCTCACGTGGGTGATGTGGCTGATGCCGGGCCCCCGAAGACCGGCATCTGCCCCAGGAGCGAGGAGACCGGGACGAGAGTCCCAGTGGGGTGGGTCCCAGAGGCGCTGGCAGCAGCCGGAGCTGGGGAACCCTGGCTCCTGGGGGCACGGTGCCCGGTAGGCCCAGCCCCCCGAGTGCTGCTTCCTCCCGCATATCAGGGCTGCCTTCCGGTGGTGCCCCTCCTCCCAGGAGGGGCCCGGTCACTCCAGGCTCTGCCGCCTCCCTGTTGGTGAAGTGGGCTGTGCCTGAGGTGGAGTTCCCACCGCGGGACTCCTGGGGCCGCTGTGCCAGCTCTGACCAGCTGCTGGGTAGGAGGTGCGGTGGGTGGCAGCCGGATCCTGGGACACGGAGGCGCCTGTGGCACAGAGCGCCCCTGTCTTCCTCATACACATTCGCGTACTGCCTCTAAATTGGGTTATGTGCCTCCCTTGTATCTGGTGATCACTGTGCATGTACGTGTTTGCACTCATGTGTCTGGATTTCAGGTTGCTGAGGCGGCGTCGCTGAGCTGGGGCACCAGGATAAAAGGCTTCATCGCATGTTTCGCCACCGGAGTTCTCTGCTCTCTGCTGGTAAGGCCTCCCTCCTCTCCTGCCCGGTCCTTCCTCCACCGAAGCGCAGGGGTGAGAGGAGAGAGAGCTGAGGAGGCGGGAGGGGACGGTCCCCGAGGGCTCCCGGCGCGTGGCCGCTGCGGAGGGCTTCCTGCCATGCGCAGGCCGTGCTCTGTCTTCCAGGGAACCCTGCTGCTCTGGGTGCCGAGGAAGGGGCTCTACCTCTTCGTGGTGTTTTACACCCTTGGTAACATCGCATCAATCGGGAGGTAACTGTGCCTTCACTGGTTTATTATGTATGTACGTGTGTGTGTTTGTGGCCACGGACTGTGCAAGAGGGCGGGGAGGCGAGGGGTCCGCAGCTTTCAGGGTCGGGGAGAGAGGTAGTAAAGCACATGACCTCCACATCCTGTCACTTCAAACTACTTTATCCTTGAATTGCCTCTGGGAGGCGTTGCCTTTGGGATTTTGTGCGGGAGGGAGCTGAAGCTCTGAGCCATCACTGCCTCCGTCAAGGTTTACAGGACGGCCCTCCCATCCCTCTGGACACCGGGGTGGCGCTGTTGAAACGGCCCATCTGGCCCTGGCTGCAGGCGGAACTTGTCATTATTCATGTGAGGCCATGTCTGAGGGGCTCCCCGGGTGGGCAGCCCATTCCACTGCTGCCAAGCTGTTGACCCACAAGTGCACCCCTGTGCTGCCGACCCCAGGCTTGCCCCCAGCTGGGCCCTGCCCCCTCCTGGGCGGCCCCTGGGACCCAAGCACAGGCCTCTCTCCTCCACCTTCCCCCTCCTTCCGCTGAGCTCAGCTCTTGGCCGCAGAGCCCTGGGGGTCCAAGTCCCCCCGTCCATTATGCCTGGCCTTGGTGTTGACCTCTGTTGGCCCCTCCTCTCGGTGTCCATGGCTGTGGTCCCGGGTTGATGCACTTGTTCAGTGAGCCTTGGTCACCCTGCACTGGCCCCGGGGGTGTGGAGACAGGGATGGCTTGGACCCTGCTGCGGTGGGGCCCGCTGGCCAGCCAGGCCCACGCATGAACTGATAGCATAATAGGGGTGCAGAGGGACATGCTCTGTGAGGACACCTGACGGGGCCTGACCGGACTGGGGTGGAGGGGCTTCCTAGAGCAGGTGAGATCTGAACTGGGCCTAGCACCCTGTCCCTTGGTCTCCCGATGCTTCTCCACAGGGGACTCCAGACCCCGAGCTCACATGCAGGAGAGGCCCTCACCACCCGGCCGGGCCCAATTTCTTGCATGTCCCCAAGTGTCGCTGTGTCTCTGCTTGGGCTGTATTCTTGGCCCAGGGCTGCCCAGGTGTACCTCCCACTCAAGCCCCCCCACACCAAATTTTGTGGATATCTACTTGCTCATTTGTGGAGATTTGGCTCAAAAGTCACCTCTCCCATGAAACTTCACCTTATCACCTCTCCTCACCCCAACTTGGAATCATGACCTCCACGTCTGCGTGGGGCTCCCTACGGGCCGGCCCAGGAACCAGGACCTCTTAGCAGGCTTTATTTAGTTACCCCTCATTGCACTGACTTGTCACAAGCCTGTTGGCTGCTGGCCAGGGGCTCCCCGGGTGTGAGGACTGCCAGTCTGGAAGCTGACGGAGCCCGCCCGGCACTTGCTGGTCAGGTGCGGGTCTGCTCAGTCCGTGTGCCCTCTCACCAGCGCGCCTCAGCCTCCGTTCCTACAGAAGGCATGCTGGGGACATCTTTTCGAGCTTTGGGATCCAACAGATGTGTGTCAGGGTTTGAATGCCAACTCTTTAGTTCCCTGCTGTGTGATCCTAGGAAAGTAAGTTAACCCTTCTGAGCTTCGTTTTCTCATCTCTTAAATAAGTATAATAACAGTGAACCTGCAGAGTTGTTGAGGGGGTGAAGTGAGGTCATGTACTTGGCATTTAGGAAACATTCAACAAATAATAGATGAGATAGCTGTCATCGTCGTCATTAGAATCATTCTCTGGATCATGAAAGAAATGAGATGCTCTGCTTCTAACACACAACCTGAACCAGAAAGGTCTGGTTTTTATCTTTTAAAATATTGGAGTCTTGGGTGGTGGGCTTGTTTCTGTGGTTAAGGTCACACCTGGCAGAGAGGGTCCCCTGACCAAGTGCTCACGAATGTGACTCTGGAGTCAGACTGACATGTGTGTGTAGACAGGTGGTACCGTTTACTCGGGGCCTTTTGGGCTTTGGTTCCCCATCTGTGACGTAAGGTGATAATTATCCCTGTGGTCAACTCCATAAGCTGCTGGTGGTTAATGGCCTGTAAGTGTGTTGCCTGGTGCCTGGTGCCTGGCGCGGGCTTCCACGTCAGCTGAGGTCACTACCCTTGTTGCCATGGGCATCCTGGGGTCCCGGGGAGGCCAGGTGCCCCTGGTGCGTTCTGTTTGGGTCTGAATGGCCGTGTGTTTGCCTCTTAGCACCATCTTCCTCATGGGACCAGTGAGACAGCTGAAGCGCATGTTTGAACCTACGCGCTTGATCGCCACCATCATGGTGCTGGTAAGGCCTTTTAGCTGCACTTCTCAAGGGGGGGCTTGTATTTCTGTCACCTGGAATCTTTCCCTCCTGACCTAAAGACCTGTTTCCTTTCATCCTGACTTCCTGCCCTGCCTGGGGCCACGGTGGCAGGAGGGCGCATGTCCTGTGATGAAGACCTCCCCTTGTGCGTCCCTTGGGGTTAAGATTTTGTCAGTTCTGTAAATCACCAACAGAGGGCATCGCTTATCAAATTAGCCAAACCAGAATGGTGGGAAGAGCGCGGACACCGGCCTGGGGATGGTGAGGCTGGGTGTGGGCAGGGCTCCTCGGAAGAGTGGGGTCCAGCATCCTGGGGTGAGCCCTTTCCCTTACCACCACCAGGCCTTGGGACCTGGCTTGTTTTCATTGGCATCCCTGAAGTGGGTCCGGGGGTCCTCCTGGCCCAGGCCCCCATCCCTGGTGTGACAGCAGCACCTTCCACCTTGTCATACCTTCCGCCCAGTTAACCCAGGATGCCTCTTCCTTCTTTGGGCTCTTGTCTTGCACTGGACCCCCCAGGATCCCTGCAGACCACAGTCCCTGGCCTTCTGCTCTGAGGACAGCGCTGCCGCGTCTGGGCTGGTCAGCTGCTTGTGTTCACTGTCGTCTGTGTGCGTCTCATTTGTTCAGATGGGCAAGTTCTCTAAGGCTGTGTCCTGTTTGCTGTTTATGTCCTTTTGGAGCACTGGGTGCAGAGCTGGACACAAAGACGGCCCTTCAGGGCCCACTTACCGAGTAGTTACTGTGGGGGAAGGATGGTGGTGACAGGCACAATGCGTGCTGAGCACCAGCTCTTCCTGGCCAGCCCTGGACATAGGTGGTCTGGACAAGACTCAGAGAGAGAACTTTCCAAGGGAGGACTTAGGAGAATTGTTAGGTGACGCGTAAACAGTGACTCACTGACTTAATCTAACATCTCACGTTCACCTTTGTGCCCCTTTCTGCTCCAGAGACTAGAGTTTGGCAGGAGCCAAAATACAGAAGTGTGTGTGTTAAACCCACTTTAGTGTGTTGGAAGAGATGGATGGGCAAGTGGGTGTACAAGATGGTGAATTTTTCTAGGGAAAATATGCAAGTAGAAGAGGGTCCCTCTCTTCCTCATCCACGTGAAGTCTGATGGGCCAGTTTAATTTCACTGGGGTTTTAACTCTTTCGCTGTACATGGGCACTGAGGCGGGGTAAGTGCTACGACGTGAAGAACACGTGTGGTCACTGGGTGCTCACAGGCTGATCGCTGCAGCTTGATGGGTGCTGTAAATTTGCCAAGAATGATAAATGTTCCCAGATTTTTCCTCCATGTCGTCGCTGTATTAAGTAAATACTTTTTCCTTTCTCTCTCTAGCTGTGTTTTGCACTCACCCTGTGTTCTGTCTTTTGGGTAAGTGTGCATTTTAACTTGCCTGACCCTCTTTGTGTCTGCCTCTTGTCACGCACTCTCCTGCCACCGTATTGTTTTCCTTTCAGTGGCACAAGAAGGGACTGGCGCTCATCTTCTGCATCCTGCAGTCCTTGGCCCTGACGTGGTGAGTGAGCTTTTACCCCGTCCCCCGACTTTGGTCTCTGACAGAGCCACTGCAGGAGAGAAAATCCCACACAGTGTGGGTGGGAGGCTTCGGAAAACAGAAGCCTTGCAACGTCTGCTTGCTCAGTGACGGGCATGGAGCTGGCCTCACAGCACAAAAGCCTGTCTGCGTGGACCCTGCCAGCAGATGGCATTTGCACCTTCGGGGAACCCCGAGGCCGTCGGTCCCCCTGGGCGCCTGGTGCTTCCGAGATGGGGTAGGTGCTGCTAAACTGCCATGTGCGAGGAGTGAGGACAGGGAAGCAGTGCGGGGGCTGGTAAGAGAGGCTTGGGCATCAGATGGGCACGAGGAAGGTGGTAAGGAGCATGCCCGACGTGCCCTTTGTCATGGGGCACAGAGTGAGTGTCAGCAGGGGACGGGGCCGGAGCTGATGAGGTGGGAACCGTGCGGCTGTGGGCCGCGGTCCCCACATGCTGGGGCTGTGAGTCGTCCACGGTGACAGCTGTGGCTCAGGGCCACACATCGCGGAAGGGCTTCTGGAGATGCTGTGTGCGCTTGTGGAGGGGCTGCGGCCCATGGCCTCCCAGCGGCCCTGTGGCGGATGGGTCTGGCCACGCTGCTGAGGCATCCTGGGTTCATCAAGGGGCGAGGGCAGCCTGAGCGTCTTCGTAGAGGTGGGATGTCTGCTTTAGAAAAAATGTTGGCTGTGACGCCACAGAAGGAGGGCTGGAGAAGCTGTGGAGCTTCCGGGGATCAGCTGTGCTCCCGGCAGGAACGGCCCTGAGACTGCGTGCTTAGCGCTCACCCCTCCCCTTCGCCATTCTTGGACTGTTGAATAAATGTACTTCCAGAACGCCTTTTGGGGTTCACTGTGTCCATAAGCACATGAGCTCCTGGACGTGGTGAGTGGGAGATGCGGAGAGTGCTGACCTGGTTTAACGGCACACATGCCGGTAGTGGGTACCGTAGGGGCCTGCTTGATGGTGTACGCTTATATTCTGGTTTTCTTCTGGGGGCAGAAATTGGTTCCCACGGGCACATGCCTTTCTTGCTGGTAGACTGGTTTTGAAGCCAGTTCTTAAAGGTTTGGCACTCACAAGGGCCCCGGCAAATGGCGGCATTAAATGGTGGAGTTTTTTGTTTCCTGTTCTGTTTTCCTTTCCTTTGAAACTAATAGGGGGCAGACCATGTGTCTCAGTTGGGTGGAAGCTGTGTCTGTGGAGGACGTGTGCGACATCAGAGGACAGTGGTCTGGGGGCTCAAGTGCTGTCCTCTGAGCACAGGGCTTCTGGGCCGCCGGGCTGTCTGGGTGGGGCCTGTGGGCCCATCTGGTTGAAGTAGTGCCGGGGGAGGCTGACGTGACAGGGCCACCTCCACATGGCTTTTGCCCTGGGCCACGGGTGACACTCCCCTCCTGGCCTGCATGTGTGGCGTGGCGTGTGTGTGCCCCTCCACCCGGAGGGGACGGTGTGGATAAATCCCCGCGATGTCCCCACCGAGTAGGAGCCCCTCCCACAGTGCGATCTTCCTCTCAGATGGACACGTTTGATTTGACCTTTTGCTGGTTTTCGTTGTAGGTACAGCCTCTCCTTCATACCGTTTGCAAGGTAAGAGTGACTGTCTGGGGCTCTGGGGTCCCTCGTTTGGGGGTAGTACGTTCGTACAGGCCCTTCAGGTGTGACTGCTGCCAGGGGCACAGACCACTTTGTCTTTACTAAAAGCCCATGAGACAAGCGGGGCAATGTTACATGCCTGTCCTACAGATTAGGAAGCTGAGGGGCTGGCTCTGGCCCCTGACATAGCTGCTGATGGGCATGGACCCAGGTCCAGGGCCCCTGGTGCCGGGGCGTGGTCATCCAGCTCTGACATCCTGTGCACGTGCACTTGCACGTGTGCACCACTTGTGAACATCCAGCTCTGAGTGCAAGTCCCACAGGTGATCATCTGTGACACGCTGTACACGTGTGCGCACTGCTGGGATCGTCAGACTGTGACACACGGTGCATGTGTGTGCGGCACCACCTTTTGACCTGGGCCGTCGAGGAGATGCTCTTAACGGATCATCAGCAAGCAGGCGATGGGGGGTCTGAGTCCATGCTTGTCTCGCAGCGTTGCAGCGAGAACGTTTCAGCAAGAGGTTATAGAGGGAGACTAAGCAGAGCCGGGGCTCGGGAAGACTGACCAGGTTTCCAGTTAGCAGTGTGACCCTGGGCGACTCACTTGACCCCTGGCCTCAGAGGCTCATGGGAAGCTAGAGGGGCCTGGACCACACCCCCCGCAGAGCCCTCCCAGCTTCGAGGTCCTGGCCCTGATCCCCCTCAGCGAGCACTCTCAGGGCCGGGCCTCCCAAGGTCAGCCACGGGCTCTTTGCCTCTCACTGCCCTAGTGCATGTAACTATGTAATTTCCATTCACATCTATCTATTTTAACTAAAAGGAACTTTTCCTTAACTGTGTTTAGAAAAATAAGAAGCTGCAGGAATTGGGCGGCAGGAGGAGCACCCTCGGTCTCACGCGGCCCAGGCCCGCTGCTGGCCGCGACCCGAGGGTGCGGGCTGCGGGGGGTCAGCGCGCCGCCCGCCCAGTGGCAGCAGGGTGACTCGGTGAATAGCGCTAGGAGGGTAACGGATGAAATGGTCCGTGCCGGACAGTGGCCCATGTGGGAAGAGTACAGGTAGGGAGTGTCCTGGGGAAAACTCGGTTTTTAAGTGAAGTAAGCCAGAGCCTATCAGCCCCAAGCAGCCAGTGAGACACTGAACCACGTGCCAGCGACTGGATGCTTCCTTGTGCCAGGACCAGCTACATAACCGGCAGGGCCCAGTGCAGCGTAAGTGGGTTCCTTGTTCAGGAAGGATTTAGAAATTTCAAGATCGCAGCAGCAGAGCGTTATGACGGATGTGGACCCTCGAAAGTACGGGGCCCGGTGCAGCCGCACACATCTCGTGCCCCCAAAGCTGGGCCTCTTGGGCACTGCTCCTCAGGGTGCCCAGCCTGGTCTGGATGGACACTTACGGGTCTCGTGTGCAGGTGGTGGGTAGGATGGCAGAAAGCTGTTGGAAGTAGTGAGTCTCCTGGGCTGAGCAGATGCGCATTTCTGCAGGAGGGAATGAACCACGAAGGCGGGCCCCCATGCTTCTGTTTGTAGCATCCCCCAGAACAGCCTCTCCCACAGTGGTTCACAGAAAGAGCACGGATATGGAAGGCAAGGGCTCCATGATAAATAAGTTTGGGACACAGGTTAAGCAAAATTATTAGATAGGTTCCTTGTTGCTGAGCTTTCCAGGTCCTTTAATGTATTACGTGTGTTGTAAGCTGCTTTAAGGGATCTTACTTGGCCGTAAAACCCTTTCCCATGCAGGGCATCTCCTAGGACTGCAGTGCAGAGCATATCTTTCTTTTTTTAAATTTTTTATTAAGGTATCATTGATATACACTCTAGGAAGGTTTCACGTGAAAAAACAATGTGGTTACTACATTTATCCATAATATCCAGTCCCCACCCACACCCCAATGCAGTCACTGTCCATCAGTGTAGTAAGATGCCCCAGATCCACTCTGTGCCTTCTCTGTGCTACACTGTCTTCCCCGTGATCCCCCACACCATGTGTACTAAACACAATACCCCTCAGTCCCCTTCTCCCTCCCTCCCCACCCACCCTCCTGCACCCCTTCCCTTTGGTAACCACTAGCAGAGTGTATCTTAAGAAATGCTGAGAATGATCTTGACCTTGAAGCACAGCGCCTGCTCACCTCTTCCTCAGGTGACTCCCGATGTCCTGGGTGCACAGGCGGCTGAGAAGCAGAGGGACAGAGCCAGGCTGAGAAGCTCTGGCCTACAGCCGGGTGTGGCTGCAGCTGGAGATGCGTGCTTGAATAGAATAGTAGCTCGCCGAGCACCCACTCCTTCCTTGCATGCTCTGCACTGAATTCCAAGCAGTGACTGCGTGGGGCAGGCTACCAGGGCTCCGTGCCTGTAGAGAGCTCCCTGTACCAGGCGCTCCTGGGAGACGTCCCTTAGCGCATTTCAGCCACTTGCCTTGAATGGGGAGAGGCCCTGCTGACTGGCTTAGTGCTGTCAGAGCACCTGCGATTCCGGTTGGTATTCAAGTGCACGGCCCTGACTGACGTCCTGGCCTCTGATAGTCTCTGTACTTCCTTCCCATCCTTTCCTCTGGTTTTCATGATTGCCATCGTGTACTAAATACCTGCTCTGTTCAGTGCACTGCTTTCCACCACCAGTCTGTTGGCTGAATGGGGACGTGTGCTTTTGCAGATAAGGAATTGAGACTCAAACACGACAAGTAACTTGCCCAGGAGACTACTGCTAATAGACGTTGAAGCTGGGGCTGGATGCTGAGGGGGTTGGCCCCCCAGCCTAGGTGCACTCCACCCTGCACCATGCTGGGTGCCCGGGAGTTCTGACGGAGGGTCTTTACCACTTAGAGGTGCCCTTGGGGCGGCGACTTCCCGTTTATCTTGTGTGTTTTCTTCCCTAGGGACGCCGTGAAGAAGTGTTTCACTGTGTTTCTGGCGTAACCACCAGTTTGCAAGGCTGAGGGAGGTGTTCCGGCTGGAAGCTGGCAGACAGTTTTGTAAATACCTCGTGAACCTCTGTCCTACAGACACGTGCCTTCTCTCTTGCAGCAATGTGTTGCTCGCGAGCACCTGAGGGTTGCTTTTGGAGGCAGTGTTGTTCCCAAAGGCAAACATCTAGCGCAGTAGGAGAGGTGGGTCCTGTCCTCACTGCCTGGAATCCTCCTCGTGTGCCCGTTGCCTACTGGACGGCATTCCACTGAGTTCTCCGAAGTTAAACCTTAAGCAGGAGCAGCAACGCCAGAGCAGCAAAGCCTTGGGACCAGAAAAGGCACGCCGGTGATCCCCGGTGGTGACAGGCAGCCCGTGAGTGATGGCAGGGGTGCACAGGAAGGGCCAGGGCTCTGGGCCAATACGGGCTCAGTAGACATGTCCCTCAGCATGGAGACCACCACCCCTGCCCCGCACACCTGGACATGCTTGCACCCTGGGGTCTGGGACAGCAGTTCTGCCCTCCCGATGGCCTAACACAAGCCCGTGGAGAGCCTGGCTGTCAAGCAGAGAGGAGCCCTTTGGTAACAGGTGTTGTTTTAAAACCTGACCCTCGGCGCCCCTGGGCCCCACTCCCACGCCTCGCTGTGAGGGTGCTTTCTGCCATTCGTGCACGCTTCTTCTCTCCTGGGTCTCCTCCTGTCCCTGCCTCTGTATCTTTACCCATGACCTCCTGGAACTAGAATGAGAGCAAAGCAGCAGGAAATGCTGCTCTTTCCTTCTGGACAAGAGCTGGCGGGGGTGCGGTCATGTTGCCGTCTGCTGTGTTTCTTTTCATCATCCACAAATGTTTGCTTTTAAACTGGTTGTGTTTTCTGTTCTCCCAAGAGGGGGTCCTAGGGAGAGCGGGTGGGAGGTCAGCCCCACGTGGGAACGGCAGGAAGTGGGCACGCCTGCTAGTGCCCTGGAAGCAGTCCCAGCGTCCATCCTGCAGCCTGTGCCAGACACGCTGGAAGACACATGGGCTGTGGCCATCGTGGCTCAGCCTGCTGCCCAGCCACGTGCCTGTAAGCCTTGATCCGTCCCGTCCTGGAGGTGGTGACTGTCACCTCACTGTGCAGTCACAGAAGCCAAGGCGCACGGAGGTCCCTGGCTTCCCCTATAGTCACAGTCTGGGCAGAGCTGAGCCTCGTGTCTGGGCGCCCCAGCCTCCATCTCCTTCGTGACCCCATTTCCCAGTGTGGCCCTGGAGGTGCTCCTGAACCGCACTACCTTTTCTGTCAGCCAAGCCCGTGCCTTTTCTGGTCCCAATCTCCGTGTCACTGCCTTGGCTCCCCCCTGGTCTGCCTTGGGGGTGCTTCCCCTGCAGTCTGTAGGATCTCTGTCCATTGTTCCTGTGGGTGCCCTCTCAGCTCCTTTCTGCTGCCCGACTGTCACAAGCACCCTGTCTTGATTTCCGCAGCCCTGGGCATGCCGGGGCTCACAGCTGCCCTGCAGGTGGGGTCTGCTGGGTTTGCCTTTCTGGGCCTCTTGGGCTCTTGTTCCGGGAACCTCCAAACCAGAGGCCCTGGTCGGCCGGTTATCTCCCTGCTTGTGGCTGTGGCCGAATTCTTTCTCTGGCTGCAGCTGAGCTGTCAGACCAGCGATCATTTTCGTCTTGGCTGGAGTGGTAGGAACAGGTCCCAGGGGACCACAGTGAGGAGCCAGTCTTTCCAGGCCCTTTCTGGGCTATTGTAGGCATCCTGTCTTAGGCTAAGGTCCATAACCTGCCTTCAGCCAAGAAGGGAAATTATATGCCCCCTCTGGTTTTGTGGGGTTCTTTCACATCTGCGGTGCCTCTCGGAGATGGCTCAGATCTCAGTGGGCTCTAGGATGGGGCCTGCAGGAGGTCAGGGAGGTCATCGCTCCGCTAGCACTACGTGTCCAGCCGTGGGCATTGGCCTGCATCATCTCGCTGAATATTCACAGTAGCTTTGCCCAGCTCGTGGCCCTGTCCCCGTTATCAAGGAGAAGGAGCAGCCTCAGAGAGGGCAGGGCATCTGCCAGTCCCAGCAGAGGGCGTTGGCTCTCGCAGAAGGGCTTCTGCTTTGCCGTGACTGCTCGCCTGTGGCCCGGGCAACTCCTGTCTGGACACTGTTGGCAGCCTTTGGACGACCCTGCCCTCCAGGGTGTCCCAGACTCCTGCGTGTTTCCTTCTGCTACCTTGGCCTTTGGCTGCTTCCCTGCTTGGCTACTGGGCTGTGGGAGGAACAAATCCATTTCAAATCTGCTGAAAGCTGTTGCCAAGCGACAGTGTGGCAAAAAGCGGCCTGGTGGGTGCGGGAGGAGTGGAGAATCCCGGCTTTGGACCCTGGGGCTGGTAGTGGTCTCTGTTTCCCTGCTCCCCTGCCTGCCATCCTGCCCCTTTCCCTGCTGGCTGGAGGGGAGATCACCGTGGGGGTGACATGCAGGTGGGAAATGTGCTTGCCTGTGGCTTCGCTTCAGAGCCCCGAGCCCTCTGCCCTCCAGGCCTGGGGAGCCCCCTCCGTGCCCTCGGCCCCTCAGAGATGCTTGTTGGCTCCTGGGCAGGTCTGCTGACAGCTCCGGGCCTCCATCTCCTCTCTACCCAAGAGGTTTTCCCTTTTGCTGAATGTGCTCTGGGAACCTCTGGTTCCTCCAGACCCTGCTGGGGGGGCCCCTCCGCCCCCTGCAGACAGGCTGCTCGCCTCTGGGTGGGCACAGTCCCCAGTGTGCATGCCCTGGGGCGGTACCTGGGTGGAGCACCCTTGCACCACTCTCAGGGTTATCTGCCCGAGTGCCCCTCCCTCCTGCCCCCACCTGTGCTTGGAGAACCCGAAATAGAGTCATGAGCACCTCTGATAAGATTGCTTTGGAGAGTTCCATCAGGAAAGACCATCAAGAAGTGGGTGTTACCTTAAAAAAGGGTGTGGGGGGTGCTGGTTTGGGCGCTTCTGCTTCTGGTCAGTTCCATGAGGGCGATGAGCGCTGCGGCTGGGGGCTGAGACCCGGGCAGCCAGCGGGGAGCGGAGCGGCGGCCTCCGCGCGGGGCCCCTTCTGCGCCAGGCCCGCCTTCTCCCCCCTCAGGAGCGTCTAAGTCGGCTGCAGCAGTACAATATTTAAAAATTCACAGCCTGTCCTTCAACTTCATTTTCAGCAAATGAACAAACAAAAGGCCAGTGTTTAAGGTTTGTGAAGCCGTGTTGGATTTTTGGCAAATTCTTTTTTTTTTTTTTTTTGATGTTTAAGATGTGCTGTAGTGTGCAGATAGCTTATTTTAGAAAGTAAATGAAGTTACAGATTTATATCTGTGTAGCTTATAAGATACTGACAAACTAAGTGAATTCTGGATGTTCGGAAATTCTTATTTAAAAAGTTGGCTGGGAGGTTAAATTACATGACTTTATAAGTACCCTGTAGTTCAAAATCGTATGAAATTCTGAGATCTTGAGAGTTTTAATGGAGTGAAGAGAAAAATGCCATGCAGTTCATTTGAGCCTGGTGCCCTCAGCGTGGGGCGTGGAGCTCCACGTTTTGGCTGCGTCCAGCTGTGCCCCAGATGCACAGGTGACACCCTGAGGCCCCTGGGACGCCGTGGCTTCGCTCTTGGTCGCTCAGGGTTCTGTTGCACAGCCTCCAGAAGCATGGCAGAGACGCCGCGCCCGAGTGTGTGGGCACAGCCCGGGGGCGGCCAGGGCAATCGATTTGACCAAATGGATCCCATTCTTCCTGGCAGGAGCTGGTAAACTGACCGGGGTTTTGAAATGTACAGAATTTCTCTGTAGACGGGATGGGCTGACAGCAGGGCAGAGGGTGCACCCAGGCCAGTTCACGTGATGTCCTCTCATGGACGGGCCGCGGCTGTTGGAGATGAAAGGTCAGACCACAGCATTGTAATACGCAGCTGGTACCCAGGTGGGTGTCTCTGACAAGGTGACATCACTAATAGACAGCACCTGAAAACCAGTGTGCCGTGGAGAAACGCTCCCTGGTGTAAACTGCCCGCCTGGGCCTGGCACCTTTGAGACCAGAGCGAGCCTGGAACCTGGGCAGCGCGATGCTCTCTGCCTGCTGCGCGGCCAGACTGCATGGCCCGGCGATGAGCCCCCAGTCTGGGGACAGGTGCACCTTGCTCTGTAATGTCCTGAATTGGCTGCCCCGATTTATACTCCCACCATGCCTCGCATTCTGTCTGGTGGTCTTTCTGCTGTGAAAAGTGTTCATTTTGCCTTTTTGGGTATGCTTTCCTGCATTAGCCATTTTGAACAGAGAAAGGAAATACTGGAGACCCTCTGAATTCTGATCTTCTGCTGATTTTATAAATTCTGATTGTGAAGTTGGGGTAAGAGTTCAAAGGCCCAGGGGAGTCTAGATGCCTTGGAACATTGTGCCTGTTTTAATATGATGAGCTTTTAAAACACTGTTTAAACATGAATCCATTCTTGTGATTGCGAATATTCAGCTAATTTTCAATATTGGTGATTGCATAACTGATTTTTTTATATCTGGAAATATATTCTTATGTGCTACTTTTCTTATCTCGAAACTATTTCATACAATAAATATTGTTTACTTTTTAGTCATTTCAAAGAGAAGAATTTTGTTGGTAACTAAGCTGTTTTTACTCTAAACCATCACAAAACAATTCTCCCTTTCTTTCTTTTTGTTTCCTTCTCAATAAATGATAGCATTATGATCTTGAATGAATCTAGTGTTGTCTTTTATTTATGTTTGTCTTTGCAGGAAGACAGTAAGCCAAAGGGAGATTGTATGATGACAAGAATAGACTGTGTCTTTAGTTTTAATTAATTTGTAGCACACATTGTGAGCCCCTAAAGATGTTTTTTGAGCTCAGTGGATATGCAGTCAGTCCTCTTTCCAATGAATCAGGGGATAGCATATAATAAATGTCTAAGGACGGTTTTGAAGGTTTTAGAAGGTAAGAAGTTTCAAGTGTTGGCTTAGATTGTTCCTGCAGACCCGGCTGGTTTAGTCACTTTGTGTAAGTCAGGGAAGGTGTCAAATTAATTAGTGTGAAGTTCATAGTATTTCCTGTTCTTTTAATGTTTGTGAAATTTGTATTTATGTCTTGCCTTTCATTGATACTGGTAATTTGTGTTTCCTGTCTTTCTCTTGATCTGCGTAGCTTGAGGTTTTGCTTTATTGATCATTTCAAACACAAACCGGTTAAAAAGTTTGGAACAAACATTTAACCAAAGAAGATACGTGAATCTGTTTAACGACAACAAAAATACACGAGTGGCCACCAAACACATCTAATACATATGGTGTGATCTATATGTTTTATCTTTACTGTTTTAAAAAAAAACAGGGAAAACCCAATACTGAATTTCAAAGATTCATTCTTAGGTGGTAAAGTTATAGCAAAGAGCAAGGAAGTTTTTGGCATGAAAGTGAGGGCAGTGATCGCTCTGGGAGGGATGGAGAAGTCAGTGCTGGGGGAGGACCCGAGGGAGGGACTCGTCTGCTTGTGTCCCGTCTCTTGATCGGGTGGCACTTAGCTGGTGATCACTGCTCTGGTGTTTTGTGTGTGTGCACTTTGTGTTGTGTTGTATTTTATAAGCCCACTTTGGTTTCACTGATTTTTGCTATTGGTTGTCTGCCTTTTATTTAACTGATTTCTGTTACTTCTGTCCTTACACGTTCTTCGGGATTAATTTACTCTTCTAGCTTTTTAGGGCGGCAGCTTAAATAATGGGCTTTAGATCTTTTTTGGTATAATTATAATACTGTAAATTTTCCTCTAAACATTGCTGCAGTTGCATCTCACACATTTTGATCTGTTGTGTTTTTATTTTAATTCAGTTCCAGATATTTTCTTTTTTTTCCTTGTGATGTCTTCCTTGACCTGTTGGATTACTTAGAAGTGTGTTTAATTTTCAGATATATGGGGGATTTTTCCAGATCTCTATTACTGATTTATAATAATTCCACTCCAGTCAGAGAGCATATTTTAAATGACGTTAATCCTTTTAAGTGTATCGGGATTTGTCTTAGGGCCCAGCGTGTAGTCTGTCTGGGTGGGTGCTCCATGTTTATTTGAAAAGAATGTGGATTTGGCCATTATTGGGTGGAGTGTTCTGTAAACATCAATCAGGTCGAATTGGTTGATGGTGTTCAATTTCCAACCTTACTGATTCTCTCTACTATCCATTCGTTGAGAGACACATGCCCATTATAATGTGGATTTAATTATCCTTTCCACTCAGTTAAAAAAATCATTTATTTTAAACATTAAGACACTGAAACACACACACAGAAACAAAATACAGTATATGAATTACAAGAATGTACAGCTCAGTGAGTCATTACGAAACAGTGGTGTAACCGCCACCCAGGTCAGGAAATAGAGTGTCGCCAGCCTCTCAAAGTCCCCTTACGCTCCCTCCCAGCTGTGGCTTCCTGACCCCCTTTCCACAGGCATCACCACCGTCCTGACTTCACAGTGTCACTTCCTTGCTCCTCTTTATAGAGTTTTTTTTTCCTTTCAATTTTTTGAGATGTGATTTGCATGCAGCACTGTATAAAGTTAAGGTGTGCACCACAGTGGTTCGACTTACATATACTGCAAGGTGATTCCATAGTAAGTTCAGGTGACATCCGTCATCTCACAGAGAGACAAATAAACCAGCAGCAGGGCTGACTATGGTCCTCGTGTTGCACGTTACAGCCCCAGAACTTACATATTGTACAGCTGGGAATTTATCCCTTCTGACCCCCTTCATCCAGTTCCTCCACACCCACCCCCACCTCCGCCTCTGGTAACCATAAACCTGATCTCTTTCTCAATGAGTGAGATCGTACAGTGATTCTCTTTCCCTGACTTCTCTTTCACTTAGCATAGTGTCCTTAAGGTCCATCCATTCTGTCACAAATGACAGGAGTTCCTTTTTTATTGCTGAATAATATTCCACCACGTACATGTACCACAACTTCTTTATTCATTTATCTGGTGATGGACACTTAGGCTGCTTCTGTGTCTTGGCTGTTGTGAATAACACTGCAGTGAACATGGGGGTCAAGGTATCTCTTTGACAGAGCGATTGTGTCTCCTTTGGATCCAGTCCCAGAAGTGGCATTGCTGGATCACAGGGTAGTTCTACTTTGGATTTTCTGAGGAACCTCCATACTGTTTCCACCGTGGCTGCCCCAATTTACATTCCCACCGGCAGTGCACAGGGCTCCCCTTTCTCCACATCCTTGCCAGCATTTGTTACCTCTTGTCTTTTGGATGGTGGCCATTCTAACAGGGGCAGTGACATCTCCTTGTGGTTTTGACTAGTATTTCCTCACCATCAGTGATGCTGGGCACCTTTCATGTACTGTTGGCCATTTGAATATCTTCTTTGGAAAAATGTCTGTTCAGATTTTTTGCCCATTTTTAATTGGATTATTTGTTTTTTGCTATTGAGCTGTAGGAGTCCTTCATATAATTTGGATATTGCCCCTTATCAGATGTATGATTCACAGGTATTTCCTCCCACTCTGTAGGCTGCCTTTTCATTTTGTTGATTTCCTTTCTGTGCAAAATCTTGTTTGTTTAATGTTGTCCCACTTGTTTATTTATTTTTTGTTGCTCGTGTTTTAGGCATCATATTCAAAAAAGCTCCTTCACATGGAAGTTTCCCCTTATGCTTTCATTTAGGAGTTTCATGTAAGTAAAAACTTACATTTAAGTTTTTAGTCCATTTGAAGTTAATTTTGGTGAGTGCTGGAAGACAGTGGTCCGGTTTCCTTCTTTTCCATGTGAGTAGTCAGTTTACCCAGCACTGTTTATTGAAGACATTAGCTCTAACAGTTCTTCTTTGCATGAAATCTTTAGGGTTTTACATATAAGATTGTATCATCTGTGCACCAGTAAGTTTACTTCTTCCTCTCCAATTTGGATGCCTTTTATTTCTCTTTCTTGCCTACTTGTTCTGGATAGAACTGAAAGTGCTGTGTTGGATAGAAGTGGGCATTCTTGCCTTGCTAATGATCTTAGAGGGAACACTTAAAAATTTTCACTATCAAGTAGGATGTTAGCTGTGGATATTTTGTGTATAACTTTTATTATACTTTGATGGCTTCCTTCTATTCCTAGTTTGCTGAGTGTTTTTATCATGAGTGTGTCAAATTTTGTCAAATGCTTTTTCTGCATCAGTTGAGACACTCCTGAGTTTTTCTTTCTTCATTCTGTTAATGTCGTAAATTGCATTGGTTTATTTTCATATGTGGAAACATCCTTGCATTCCAGAAATAACCACACTTGGTTATGGTATAATCCTTTCAATATGCTGCTGAATTGAATTTGCTGATATTTTGTTGAGGATTTTTTGCATCAGTGTTCATAAGTGATATTGGCCTGTAGCTTTCTTTCCTTGTAGTGTCTTTGGCCTCATGCAATGAGTTGCCAAGTCTTCCCTCCTCGTCAATTTTATGGAAAAGTCTGTGAAGGATTAGTTCTTTAAATGTTTTGAGGAATTCACCAGTCATCAGGTTCAGGACTTTTCTGTGGTGGAAGATTTTTGATTATTGATTCAATCTCTTTACTAGTTACTGGTCTATTTAGATTTTCTATTTGTTCATGATTTATTCTTGGTAGGTTTTATGTTTTTAGAAACTTGTCCATGTCAACGAGTTACCTAATTTTTTTTGGCATCTGATTATTCAGAGTACTTTTTTTATAGTCATTATTATTTCTGCAGGATTGGTAATAATGTCCCCACTTTCATTTCTGATCAGAGTGGTTTCAGTCGTCCTCTCTTACTTCATGTAGCTAAAGGCGGCTGATTCCGATCTTTTTGAAGAACCAGCTTTTTGTTTCATTGCTATTCTCTATTGTTTTTCTGTTTTGTTTCATTTATCTCTGCTCTAATCTTTCTTATTTCCTTTTGCTAGGTTTCAAATTAGTTTGATCTTCTTTTTCTTAGTTCCTTAAGTTATAAAGTTAGGTTGTTTGAGATTTTTTCTTGTTTTTTTTTAATGTAAGCATTTTGTGGGTAAAATTGTAACATTTCCAGAATATCTCACCTGGCTTTAGTACATCTGCACATCAGTAGGCGTTCAGAGGTGGAAAGAAGTGTGGCTTTAGTGCCTTTGCATCATTCCTCAGGGGTGGAGAGCAGTTCATCTCCATATCAGTGGGTAATGACCTGGGCCAGGAGGGCTGATCTGTGCCTGAGAGGGGAGGGCGAGGCCGGTTTTTTCTTTTGCTGGAGCAGGAGAGAGAGAAGGCCCCAGACTGGAGTTTGTAAGCAATGAACAGGTTTTAAACTTTATTTCTCCCTTTGATTTCCGTTTTTAGAGGTATTTTGCCCTGGGATTTCCTCTCCCTGGACTTACACATTTACAGCTATAAATGTTTCCCTTAGCCCTGCTTTTGCTGCGTCCTGCAAGTTTCGATATGTTGTGATTTGTTTTCATTCCCTTCTATGTGTATTCCGATTTCCCTTATGATTTATTCTTTGATCCATTGGTTGCTTAAAAGTGTGCATTTACCTTGCGCTTTTTGTGAGTTTTCCAGTTTTCTTTATGTCACCGGTTTCTCATTTCATTCTATTGCGGTCATAGAAGACACTCTATATGACTTCTGACTTTTAAAATGTGTTGAGACTCAATCTGTCACCTACCATCTGTTCTACCCTGGAAAATGTCCCACGTGCACGTGAGAAGAACGTCTGTGCTGTTGGTGGGTGCCGCGCCCTGTACACGCCTGTTAGATCTGGTCGGCTTATGGTGGCATTAAGTCCTCTGCTTCCTGACCTGCCTTGGTCTGGGTGCTCTCCCCATTGCTGCAAGTGGGGGTCGAGTCTCAGCTGTTACTGCAGGACTGCCTGCTCCTCCCACTAATTCCCAGATTTTGTTTCATATATGTTGGTGGTCTGTTATCATGTATGTTAATGTTACATATTCTTGTTTTTTGAACCTTTTATTAATACATACTATTTTTTGTGTCTTGTAACCTTTTTTGATTTAAACTCTATTTTGTGTGATATTGTACAGCCAGTCCCGCTCTCCTTGGTTACCACTTGCTGGGCGTATCTTTTCCAGCCTCTCTCTGTCAGCCCTGCTCACGTCTTTGGGTCTTAAGTGAGCGTCTTGTAGACAGCATGTGGTTGGATCACGTATTGTTATCCATTCTGCCCATCTCTGTCTTTTGATTGGAGAGTTTAATCCACTGACATTTCATGTCATTACTGATGAGGAGGGACTTAGTGCTGTCACTGTGCTATTTGTTTTCTGTAAGGCATATAGCTTTGTTGTTCCTTATTTCCCACTTTCCTATCTTTTCATGTTTCACTGGTTTTTTTTTTTAATGAAATGTTTTAAATTCCTTCTTGGATTCCTTTTGTGTATATTCTGTAGCTATTTCCTTTGTGGCTGCCAGGGATGACATTTAGCACCGTAAAGTTATAACACCAGAGTTGGAATGCATAGCAGCTTACCTTCAGTAGCATATGAGAAGGCATCTCCTTCACAGCATTGCTCCTGCCTCTTTGGGTTGCTGTTGTCACAAAATGACACCTGTCTATACTGTGCCCCCCCTAAATTAATCATTGTTTTTTCTTTAAATATATTTAAATGTATCATCTCTTAAATCATGCAGTAAACAAAAAGTACAATTATAGACCATCCTTACAATAAAACAAGCCTTCATAATTACTCATGTATTTTTGTACTGAAACATTGGGTTCAGTTCTGGTGACCCACCTCAAGAAAGCTGCGATAGAGCTGGAAATGGTTCATGAAATCCAAGGCCTTCTGAATAGGCTCAGAATACAAAGATTTGAGGTCTTTAGGGTAGAAAGATGAAGCCAGTAATGGGCTCTAAGTGCCATTCTACAGTTCCGGAGAGAATGAGAGTCATGTGAGAAAGCATTTGGCTGGTGCACCAAATTCTTGAGTTCAAGAACCAGAGCTGCTCTGTGAGGCTTAAAAGGACGCCATTTTAGATTCATACGACCCTTTTACAGTAGGGGAGGGAGCACGACATTGGGGTTCTAAGAGGTGAGACGGGGGCGCAAGTTACCCCCATCACTTGCTGCAGGTCTGAAACTGCCGGCTTGTCGGTGCACGCCTGTCTCAGCGCCTCTCCAGTGCAGTGACCGGAGTGCTCCCTCCAAAGCGTATCCCTTTTTAGCACGAGGCAGTGCTCCAGACTGTGACCTACAAAACGGGGTGGTCCTGTGGTCCAGCCTCCACCCACCCTTTCACCCTCCTTCCGCCGTCATTCGCCTTGGGCTCCCTCTGGCCCTGTGGGCCTGGTGTGTGCCGGCTCCTCTGCCGGTGTGTCTCGCCTTGCCGTGGAGCTTCTGCTTGGCCTTCAGAGTCCGTAGTGAGCCTCGCTCCCCTGCCCATGTCATCGTCCTTGGCTGACTCTGAGGCCCCCAAGGGCTCGGGCCATGTCTGTCTACCAGCTGCCGGACCCCCAGCACCCAGCACACTGCCTGAAGGAGAGAAGTCCCTCAGAATGGCTGCTGCGTGAATGGCAGTAGTCACGGGCACGGGAGGTCGCAGACAGGCAGGCAGATTGGCCTGCAGCCATGTTTTCTTCATCCACCACATTACGTTTAAAATGTCTTGCCTTTCGAGCCTCTGGACAGGCGTGTGTCTCCCCGTTCCCCGCGCCCGACACGCTCGGCCCCCACTCGTGCTGTCCGCGTGTTGTGTCCCCTGTTCAGCCGCACGGGGCCTGGTAGCAGAGGTACAGTGGGTAGCTGTGGGGAAAGTCAGGACTTTAAGCTGTCAGCATGGAGGACTGTCAGTCCTGTCCACTGCTGGCCCTTCTTCCTGTTGTCAGAGATTTAACTGGGGCCAGAGAATGACATGCTCATAGACACCTGGGGGCTCAGCAGAATTCATTTTTGGGTGATGTTTCTGGTGAAAAATCACATACTTGGGGGTCTGACAGGTAACAGGCGGCCAGCGGGTTTGTGAGCTCTAACCTCTCAGACGTGGGAAGGGGTCAGCGGTCGGCCTGGGAGGCCACCTTACACGGCTCCTGTGATGTATTGGAACCGACCTCAGACCATTATGAAAGCATAATCCTCATAAGCCACCCAAAAGCTAGTAATCCCCAGGGCTGCGTGTTGGCGATTAAAAAAGAAAGATAGGAGCAGCTGTCTTTTTGTTCAGTTTAATTATGACCAAGTACCTGGGTGAGTATTAATTTCCTGGTGGAGAAAGGTGTGAGGCCTCTGAGGCCTCAGGGACTGAATGTGCAGACGCGGACCCCGCCCCGTGTTCCTGGGACACGGGCACCGTCCGGAGCTCAAGTCAGAAGCTCAGGTTGCATGACTTCCAGTTCTGCCCTTTCAGTCCCAGACATGGGCCACTGTGCGCCAGAGGACACGGCAGAGCTATCGGGTGTCCGCCTGCACACCTCAGTCACGGCCCCGCACCCCGCTGCTGGGCCTGCGAGAGGGAGTCCTGGAACTGGGCACCCACTTTCCCTGGCTCCCGGTTCTGGACATTCAAGCTGATATCCGAGGGTGTGTTCACAGAGAACTGGCTCTTCTCTGAGAATAATGGCCCTGCTTGCAGTGCATGTGGAGCGCCAGTCCTGCCAAGTGTCCTCCACTTGTGTCCTCTGTCCTGGAGCGTGGTCCTGTCGTCTTCCTGGTCCTCCAGCCTGACGCTGGAGCATCATCCCACCGCCCTGTCCCTCAGGAGCCACATGCAGTGGTGGCCGGTTCTGGCTCCCACGCCAGCAGCAGCCCCCCTGCCTCCACAGGGCTCTGTCTCCACTGCCAGCCTCATCGGGCCCACCTCCGTGACTTGTCACCTCATCAGCTTCTGCTAGACTTTAGCCATTTCCCCACCACCTTTGTGGTGTTTTGAGTTTTACCTCTACTGTCGCTTTATTAGCACTTTAAACTCCATTTCTCCTTTATAGTTTTACTTTTTACTTGTCCTAAGAAATACTCTCCTTAAAGACATGAGTTTCCATGCTAGTTATATTCCTCTAACTGCTCTAATAACCAGCATTCATCCACGCGCCACCTAAAAGTGTTCCCAGGGGAGCGCCAGGCACCCCAAGCCTCTGTCCTTTCTCTCTGGTCTGGTGCCCGAGGGTGCGAGTCCTTGCTGATGCCGGAGTCACTGTTTTCATGCCTTCTGACCTGTCCACGGAGCCCGCTTTTGTACCCAAGCAAGTTTCTGCTCCTTCAGAACTCGTGTGCCCTCTGCTCTGCCGTGTCCCTGGCCTCCCTCTCCTGTCCCTGCCCAGGCGACTTCCCTTACAGACCTGCACCGCCAGCGCCCTGTCAGCCCCTCCAGCTGCGAGCTCCCGAGGCCAGACGCAGCCCCTGGCTCGGAGTAAGCGCTCTGGAACGTGGGTTGAATGAACGGGGAAGTGATGCCAGGGAAGTCCCGCCTCCCTTATTTGTAGAATCAGAGGACTGGTTTGGGAGAGCTCCCAGATTTCAGCTCCTCGAGTGTGCGGACAAACGGGACAATAAGGTTAAGTGCCCCAGACATTATGGAGATGTGTCAGCCAAGCATTTTATATTCATTTCAAGCCCAACAATTAGGGGAGCCTATGAAACTGCTGTTCTTCACGTAAAACAGGTTGCCAATCAGCAGTTTGACGTGGTTCAGTCTGAGGCGTCTAATGTAGTGCCGACCTCAGAGGTGACGCGGCCTGGGAGGTGGCGTGGTGGTCCAGGTAGGCCGGACTCCAGGTCAAGAGTGTGAGCTGCTTTTTACTCAAGGTGACCCCCTCTTGGGTTTGCCCCCAGCCACTGCATGTGTTGGTCTCTGAGAGCCTTGCCCGGGCCCACGGCTCGATTCTCAGGAGCATGGCAGTTTGGATAAAACTGATGAGAAAAACCCGTTTTATTTCCTTCTCCATCATGGGTACTTCCAGTCTTTGAGGGGATTAGATTTAGACGTATTAGCCACCCTGGCATACGCTCCTCTCCCTCCCAGAGTAGGTTTCTGCCAGCGCGGATCCTCATCTCGTTTGTATTTATGGGCTCTCTGGGGGAACACTGTTCACTGCATCACACGGTGTTTTCCTTATAAAGGTTTGTGGGAGAAACTTCTCTCAGGCAATTGGTTTGTTTTTATTTTAGGCACACAGTGTGATGTATGCCAGATTGTATTTCCCCTTTTGCCTTGGCTGCTAGGAAGCTCAGAGCCACACTCGTGGCACAGCTCTGAGCAGTGAAATCTGCCCTCCACGTCTCATGGCCTTTGTATTGGTTTCTTATTGCTGTTGTAATAAAATGCCACAAACTTTGTGGCTTGAAACAACACAAATTTATCTGACGTTCTGGAGGCCCGCAGTCCTGACCCAACCTCCTGGGGTGCCGCCCAGGTGCACGGGCATCCCTTTGGAGCTCCTGGTGGACGGCCCTCGCCCTGCCCCTCTGCCCTCTCGGGCTGTCTGCGTCCCTCTGCTTGCAAAGCCGGCCGTGTGGCGTTGTCTCTCCGCGGACCTTCCGTTTTCTCTCTTTGACTCTGAGTCTTCGCTCCTGCTTATAAAGGTTGTGCTGGGCTCACCGGGCGACCCAGGATGCACTCCCCATCTCAGGATCCTTCACTTAGTTGCGTCAGCAAAGCCCCAGGAGATTTTAGCCTTAGAGCAGTTTAAGTTCACAGCTGTAAAACTGAGAGGGGGATAGAGTTCCCTCCCCCGACCCCAGGCCCAGCCCCCTACTGTCAGCACCCCCACCGATGGCCATTCGCTACAACTGAGGCACCTACAGGGACAGGCCAGCATCACCCAAAGCCCCTGGTTCACACTGGGGTCCCCCTGGTGTGGCACGTGTGGGGGGTTTACGCAAACGCATCATGACACGTGCCCGTCATGGCCGCTGACGCGTTTTCACTGCCCCGAGAGTCCTCCGCGTTCTGCCTGCCCAGCCCTCCTTCTCCCCAGCCTGACAGCCGCCGATCCTTTCCCCCTTCTCCGGAGTGTCGCACAGTGGGGCTCACACACCGTGAGCCTTTCAGGTGGCTTCTTTCACTTGGGAATAGGCGTGTAAGGTTCCTCCATGTCGTCTCATGGCTGAAAGCAGAGTTCTTCTTCGTGCTGGCCAACATTCCGTTGTGGGGATGGGCCAGGTCATCCGCCACCTCCTGAAGGGTATCGGGGTGGCTTCCACGTTTTGAAAATTAGAAAAAAACCTAAAAACCTCCATGTGCAGGTTTTTGGATGGACAGAAGTTTTCAGCTTTGGGCACAAACCCGAGGGGTTGCTGGGTCCCAGGGTGAGAGCCGGTCCTGTAAGGGATGCCGGGCTGTCCTCGGAGCGGCCGCCTCTGCGCTCCAGGGTCCCAGCTGGCGTCCAGCCGTGCCAGGGCTGTGCGGCCTGTCCTGGGAAGAGGGAGGGGTGCTCGTGGGCACTGGCATCAGGGCCCGTCTGTCTTCCCGGGGGGCCTGCGGGCCGAGCTGGTGTGGGTGCCGGACCCCCACCCATGTGAGCCTGTGGCCACGGCGCCACTTTGCACACTCAACACCAGCACAGCCGCCACGTCAGTGCCCGCCTTCCATGGCGTCTCTCCGCCTTCAGCGGATTGGTGACAGTGCAAAGCGGGCGTCTTTCCCGCCGTGGTCTCCAGTAGGTAGTTCCCGCCTGTGTGGACGGCAGCCGGCTCCAGGACAGCTCCGAGGCGCCTCCGCAGCTCCGCCCTCCCTGTGGCCTCCAGCCACCTCCCCTGCGCTCCCCGGCCAGGAGCCCTTGCCTGGCCAGATCCTTGCCTCTTGTCTAGCAGCCATGGGGCCCCCTCCCCCGAGAAGTGTGCCTGAGCCCCATCGGGTCGGGTCCTCCCACCCAGCTCTGCACACGCCCTTCCCCACAGTCTCCATAGACGTGCACTACTGGCAGTGCTTAGTTGCTGTTTATATCTTTTGCCTTCTCTGTTGACTGCCAGTCCCATGAGGGCACGGGCCATTTTCGGTTTCGTTTGTCACTGGACATGGTCCTTGACCAGCACATGGCACTTAGCAGACACAGACTGCATTTTATGCATCACACTTACGCTGACTTTATCTCATTTTTCTGCTTTTATTTTCGTTTTGTTGTGACAGTCTTACTTCCTGCTGTAGTGAGAGAAAAGCTCATAGCGCCCAGGATCTACTCAGGGGTGGGAGGTGGAGTGACTCTGTCCTTCCCACCCCTTCCCAGCCTGTGCCGAGTGTCATGGGGCAGAAGGCACATGTTCTATTAGCAGTATCTTCCTGGGGAATGTGGGATTCGCTCTGGAATGCCAGATGGGCCCGGGACTGTTACAGGGAGTGTCCCCTGGACCCAGGACTGAAATCACTCTGCATAATAGTGTAAAAATCTTATTTCACTCAGTGGGGGTGCAGTGCCTCTGCAGAGAGATTACTACGATGCTACACAGTTTTTCTTCTTCCTTGGCTGTAAGAAAAACTGGGGCTCTGGCTTTCTGGGAGGAAGGGCAAGGTTCAGAGCTCTTCTGTTTGTGGGAGGTGGCGAGGCCCCTGAGATGAGCAGGGTGCGTGTGTGCAGGACGCCTCCGGAGGAGGATGGCCCGCAGGGGACACCCTGGGGGAAAGAGGTCCTCGGCTCTCCTTCTCTGGGCGGCGCCCAGAGCATCCTCCGTTCGGTGGCTTGGCCGTCAGGGTCCTGGGCCCAGTGCCTTCCGCCCTGCATGTATGCTCTTCAGCCTGGGGCCAGCAGATAACCGTGGGATTTGGGCTCGTGCCTGTGCCAGGGAAGCCTGTGTTGGCATCAAGTTTGTTGATTCTCCCCAGGACCCCTCTCCCTATAGGTGCCACATGCCATGATTTATACACAAACATGATTTGCCTGATTGTTGCAGTCTGGGCCTGGAACAATGTTAATTAACGGGAAAATGGTCCTCCATACAGTGATTAGACCTCTTCAGGTACAACAAGATAAAAGCCTGATAATTTGGATGGAGTACTCTTCTTAAGCGGCTACTCTATGCTCAGCGGCCAATGGGAAAGCCAGGCTCTCTGCCACCTGATCCAGTGAGTAATTAAGAGAGGGCTTTCTCTCCCCCCTCCCCCCTCCCCACTGAAGCTTAACAGGTTGGTGGTATAATTTGGAGACCTTAAGGGGTGTCATGCTAGGAGCGTAGGCAAGACCCAGGGCACCTTCTCTCCAGCCCCCAGGCACTGCCCAGCTGGGTCCGAAAAGCAGACGAGTGACAGCCAGAAGGAGGTGGAAGCAGGCAAGGTAGGTGACGTTTCCCAGCCAAGTTTGCCAGGGGCCCGTGGCCATGAGTGAGACGGGTGCCCGGAAGACCAGCGACGGCACTGCTTCTCGGCTGCTCAATGTGGTGGACAGTGAGCTTCAGGCCGGGAGGGAGAAAGGCGACCCCACAGAGAAGCAGCTTCAGATTACCCTGGAGGACGCTCCGCTCTGGCAGAGATTCAAGGAAGTCACCAATGAGATGATCGTGACCAAGAACGGCAGGTGGGTGTGCCTGCGGCCCTGCTGGGGGCTGCCGGGGCTTGGCCAGGGGAGCGAGACCCCTTGAGTATTGAAGAGGCTGCCCGTTCTCCACCCAGAGGCGGCGGGGTCTGGTTACACACGCTTGTGGGAAGGGCTGTCTCAGGTGGCTGTCCCCAGCCAACTTAATTAATTCTCTGAGATCGTCGGGGAAGTACAGGATGGAGCCACCTGTCTTAGATGCATTTTAAATGAAGAAATTCTGGGGAATTACTGCAAAGGGGGAGTATGCCCCCTGGGTTTGGGAAATGTGCTCAAATGTCAGAAAATAATATGAACTTTTGAGTGATTGCCTATCTTGGAGCAGACCTGAGCTCCAACTCAATTCAGATAAGGCGAAAGTCAACTTCATTTGAAAGCTGGACGGTTTCCTCTTAAGTACGGCAAAACTTCCCAGAAATTTCGGACAAGCGGAAGATGGGGAGCAAAGGGAGATTCAGCCACCTCCTCACCTCCTGTGATGCAGGCTTCCTCGCGCGTGCTCGCCGTGAGGGTTCGTTTGTGTGTGTGTGCGATGATGTGACAACCGTTGCTGTAAAAATGAGCAAAACCGTAATATTCCGTCTGAGGAGAGGAGATTCCTTCTCTTCTCTCATTACCTCAAATAAGGGATCCACCTAAACTGATCTCTGGTGGCATTTCTTGGATTCTATTAAATCTATCCCAGCTAAGAGGCTGTTAGGGTAACATTAGAAGCTTTCTCCTAGTACAGGAAATGCAAACATTTTGAAAGAAAATCTCACTGCTTCCAGCCCAGCCAGACTGGCTCCCAGCCTTCAGCTGCTCCTCACTGACCTCTTGGTTCACATGGTCACAAAAGTACAAAGAACATCAGAGGGCATTTTCGGGATGGTCAGTTTCAGTGGGACTCGAACTGTGGCCCTTGGGGGATATTCTGCTAAGAGAGCAAAGCAGAGGCCAGCTGGACTTCTGGCAGGCTTTTGTCCCTGTGCAAAATGCTTCCATTCCTGGTATCTCACTTTTCCAATTTTGAATAAAATGCACAGCGTAGAAAACACACTGTTCCTTGCTTTTCTGGGAGAATTGCAGACTTGAGTGCTGTTGCACAACATTAAAGTGCTTTGCAAGTCAAAGTCCCAGACATGAGGGCATTTCAATGAATTGTGGTTATACTAGCAGCAGGGAGAACAGTCTAGCTCGATATTTGTATTTTCTATCTCTAAATAGGCCCTATACTTATTTCATAGATAGGACTTAATATTTTTAATGCTTTAAGTGTCACTGCACCTGTTCCTGCTCTTGATCTGTATGTGCACATTGTTTTTTGGTAGAAAAAAACATAAAACCCGTTTTGTATTTTAAAACAAAGAATCCTGCCAAATTCCTGATTGTATTTACTTTTTTTCCTTTCAAAGATGAGTGATGGTGTGATTGTAAAAATGTTATGATATTTGGCAATAGGTAAGACTTTCTGTTTATTATTTTCTGCTTTTATTGGGTAGTAGATACAACAGTATTTACTCCCACCCTGTCTCTCTGGGCAAAGTGGCCACATTTGAAAGTACGGTAAGTACAATCACCGGGTAAGAACAGAATTCATCTGTTTCAATAAGGAATATAAGAAAGAAAAGTTTCTAAAGTCATTATCAAATCCGATTCAGTAATATGTCGGCATGTACCCTCACCATTTAAGAAGAGCTTTCTCTTGCCTTTTTGCACCTATATAATTTTTTCTCCATGCTTAAAATCATTTAATATTAACTATGTGAAAAACAGTCTCTGTTGAAAAAGTCTAATTTGGATCAACTTGGTTATTCTTATCTGGGGGTCTTTCAGCCATCTCCCCTCCAGTGAACTGAACCTTTTCTCAGGTTCTCTTAAAGTCTCTGGAAACCCTTGAGGTCAAGGTTTTGTCGGGAGATAGAAAGACGAATCTCTAAGAGATTGATGTGGTTGGTAAGGAATAATCCCGGTCTGGAATCGCCCTCAAGCTCCGGACTGTCGGCAACACTTCACTGTGCTTGGCAGAGAAACAGCTTTTCTGTTCCATCTTCGTTATGCTCCTCTGCATCTCTCTTTTCCTCCTAACCATCCTTTGCTCATCTTTTTACCCATTTTCCTGCGTCCCCTCCAGGGGCCCGGCCCTGCCTTTTCCCCCAGCTCGCGCCCTCTCATTCTCAGCCCTGCCGCCCGTAGGCAGGGGACTGCTTGACTTTTCTTAAGCTCCGGTTGGAGGGAGCGGAGCGTTGCTGTGGCTTGGGGCCTCGCTGTTCCGAGCAGCGGTGAGCTCTGACGGGGCACGGGGTGGGCTGATGGAAGAATGAAGGCTGATTTGCCCATGGAGACCTATTCATGTGAAATAGGAGGCTTGCTTTGACATTGATCAGAAGTAGTAAAGAGAGAGGCTTTTCCCAGGAAAACACTGAATTATCCCCAAAGACTGGGATCTCGACGGCCTTCGTTCCCTCCATCCATCCCTCCTCGGATCTGTCTCCCTTGGTCTTACTTCTTCCTTCCCTTTTCTTCCTTCTCTTTCTTCATTTAAAACTTTTACTTATTCATACTCAGTAGTGTTGAGAAGGAGATAATAATCACAGTACCTCCCCGAGCTCCTTCGCATCACCTCCAGTGAACACCCTGTGCCTCTCGTCTCTGGCCTTGGAGCCGAGAACTTAGGTCAGGTCGCAGGGAAATGCTTGTTTCAGGCTTCAGGGGGCAAATAATTGAAATCCCTGGTGCCTCTGGCTCCCTTTCTGTAACATCTTCACCTTAGAGGAAAATGAAGTATTTCACATGTATTTCCAAGTGGTTAAATAATTTTGACTTAATTCTGATGAAATGTGCCTTGAGCAGGTTTTCAGAAACTGGAAGCATTTCTGATGTAACCAGTACACCCACTTGTTCATCATAAAATAAGTGTTGGGAATGGCTGAGTTGGATGCAGGGGTGTTGGCACAGTGAGCTGGTGTTCATTGTTTCCAGGGAGGGCAGTTCAAGAGGAGACAAAAGTAGGCAAACAAATGTCTGTGTCCCTGTGGCCCACGGATGTTTTTCTCTGAAGTTGGCCACCACAGGTGATGAGGGTCACATGCAATTGTGTAACTGGCTGCTAATGGGGCTCCTTCAGTCCTCTGCTGCCATTCTTATAGCAGCTTGCCTCTCATAGGCCTCTGTACACATGCCACATGTGGTGTGCACATGCATGCTGTTATAGTTCTGTGGAGAGAGGAGGGTGGTGTTTACCAGTGAAACTTTCCAAATTTTGCCTTTAGCCATCTCTGCTGTTCTCTCACCTACATAATCTGCAAGATCGGCCTCCTTTCTTCCTCGACGTCCATACTCACCCCTCCCTGAGCAGCGCTGGCTCTCAGGATCACACTAGACACATGAAAGCTGAAAGATTAGCCTCATAGCCAGGCAGCAGAGTCTGCGGCTGAGCCTGACTGCCGCCGGCCCCCCAGGTGTGGTTTGAGGGCCTCTGATTCTCGCTGCCACGTTTGTGCTCTCGATCCTGCTCTCCCCCCAAGTTAGAGACCGATTTACTTATTTCAGCTCATCAAAGCTTCTCTGTGGCTAGCTACACCTGGAAAGAAAAGGGGGAGAAAGCCACTTGATTAGAAGTACAGTCCATCCCTGAAGACAGGCCTGGCCTGAGGACTCCCCACGTGAGTAGATCAGGCACCCCTGGATCAGGCACCCTCATCCCCATGGGGTCTGAGAAGGAGGCGGACGGGCTGCGCTCGGCACAGAGGCAGTTTCTAGACTTGGCAAGGTGACTGATTTGTGTATTCCCCATTGGCATGATGAAGGTCAAAAATACATAGCATCTCTTAGTTCATTCGTGTGGTGATAAAAAGTAAGAATAACTCTAAAATTCTTGGCAAATGAAGGTCTGAACAGAATGAAGCAATAAGCCATTTGACGGCTTTTCGGAGGTGTCTTCCTAACAGCCAGGGCCTATGGCTTCCTTGCTTTCCCCCTGGGCTCCTCTTTTTTGGGGGACAGCTTTATGGGGCTGACTCACACCTGTACAGTCTAACCATGTGCCCATTTCGAGTATCCACGTCAGTGGGTTTTGGTGTGGCCGGAGTTGGGCCTATGTTCTCCCAAGTACATTTAGAGCATTTTCATTATCCCCCAAAGAAACCCTACATCCTAGCCACCTCCCTGTGGGCCCCCATCCTGCCCAGTCCCAGTGGACACAGTCATACGGTACGTGTTCCTTTGTGACTGGCCTCTTTCACTTAGCATCACGTCTTTAAAGTCTGTCCACGCTGTGACATCTTTATTGCCAAATAATATTCCATTGCATGAATATTCCCCATTTTGTTTATCCACTCATTAGCTTATGGCCAAGTGCGTGTTTCCACTTTTTTGCTCTTACGAATAATGCTGCTGTGAACGTTTGTGTACCAGGCTTTGTAGGAATGTGTTCGCCACTCTCTTGGCTGTATGTCCAGGAATGGAATGCCTGGGTCCCGGTGGTAAGTGTGTCTAATTGTTTGGGAAGCTGCCGGACTGTTCTCCGAGTGGCCTCACGGTGTTACGTTCCCAAGAGCAGTGTACGGGGGCTCCAGTTTCTCCACATCCTCACCCACATTGTTTTCGTCCACCTTTTATTAGAGTCCCCACGGTGAGGGTGAAATGGTATCTCAGGGCAGTTCTGATCTGCATTTCCTCAGAGGCCAGAGATGTTGTGAATCGTTTCATGCGATCGTAGTTTCTGTAGAACACCAGGTATCATTCTTGAACACAGCGTGGAAGAAGAAAAGCCATTAAACGTTTTTTTATTCTGAAAATAAAGGTCATGCTGCATTTCATTCTCTGGGAGACCTGGCATGGTACAGTTGAGAGAGAGGAGGGCTTGCTGACCTGTCAGCAGTGATGTGACAGTTTGAATTTTTTCTTCATTTTGCTTCAGCCACACTGACCTTTTTCCCCAGAGGCCCTCGACCGTCAGGCTTATCCGGACCTCAGGCCATTGTACCTGCTCCTCCTTTTATGTGTAGTTGTGTTTACATTACTCATTTCTGGCATTTGCATGATTCATTTCTTCTCATCGCTCAGGTCTTAGCTTAAGCGCTGCCGAGGACCCAGGAAGGCCGGCCTGGAGCAGCCGCTGTCCCCGCTGTCCCTACCTGACACCACCGTTTCAGCTCCTCATGTGCTCTTGCAATCTAAAAATACCTTATACGTACAAAAAAAAAAAAAAAAAAACCACCTGTTTGCATTTTTGCTGCCTGACTTTTCTGTTAGAATGTCAGCTTCATGAACAAGACCCTGGGTCTGCAATGCTTTTTTATCAGTGAATCCCCACTGAGAGAGAGACAAAAAAGATACGGTGGGTGGAGTAAAGGGGAAGGAGTGGGGCAGGGTTCAAGGACGTGGGCTTGTGCTCCGCAGTCCCAGGCTCCTCATCTGTAAGGTGGGCATGATAGTAGTTACCCTGTGAGTGACGAAGGCTTACACGAGGGATTTAAGTGCAGTACGGTAAGCCCTCGGGGCGGAGTGTGTGTAAGCCATGACGTGTCAGCGATCATCATTCGAAAAACTATCTCGCATTAAGTCAGGTCATAAATCTTAAGGCAGAAATATATGGAGCTTCCTAACATTTCACACCAGAAAGACAGCCGCCGTTCTCTCATGCCACCGCCCTGGCAGGCGCGTGCGCAGGGGAGCCGTGCCGTGTGGGCTTTCCATTCTTTTCCTTTTTGTTTTTACATTTACTATACATCTGACTGAGAAAACTTTTGGTATACTTTTTAACTTCGACATGTGAAGTGACAATTATACATATTTCATCCTGTTTTCTTTTTAAAAAGTGAAATCAACTTTGGCATTTCAGAAAAAGCACTGGGCCAGGAACCAGACCATCTCCTGTGCATGAACAAGCCAGGACCCTGGCTGTCGGCATGACCCTCTCTGACCCCTGAGATCATTTCTGATGCTCTTTTTTATGACTCCTCGCCAATGGCGTTTGTGCTTCGTAGGGGCTTCTGTTTGCTTCACTTGGCCAATGTAATTAAAATCATCAAAAACATTAAAATATATTGTGAAAGGGAATCGTTTAGTTTGCTCTGAGAGGAAAGAATAGATAAAAGTCTTTCTACTGAAGAAAAAAAAAGGAATGGACAACAGGAAGCAGCCTCCCTAGGGAGACTCACCATTTTTATGAACTCGCAGGCGCATCTGTCATTGAGGGGTGGGCATGACAAGGTGAGCAGTACAGTGCTCTGGGGGTGTTTGGACTCCGATTTGGGGTGCACCACCTCATGCATTTTCTCCCCTAGAAATTTCTTCTCATGCATATACTTGTCCTAATGTCCTTTCTTCCTGAGTCTATTAAGACAGAGGAGGGGAGAGGAAACGGTTCTGCTGGGGGTCAAGGGAAGGACACTGCCAGGACCGGCCATTTCCCATAGGGAATCCCAAAGCCTAGAACCCCTTTGCCAATGACTGTGGCTCAGCCGGAGAATAAAAGCTGAGGTGGTATTAAAGCTACAAATGTACTTTTTTGAGAAATAATTCATATACCATCAAGTTCACCCCTTGAAAGTGCACAGCCCAGTAGTGTTTAGAATGTTCACAAAGTGGTGCTGTGATGGTGACGGTCTGATTCTGGGTCATTTGCATCACCCCCCAAAGGAGAGCCACAGCCGTGAGTGGTCACTCCCCATTCTGCTCCGACTTGTCACCTCCAGATGGAAAAGCAGAGGGTAGTGCTTCCTCCCAGCCAGGCAGGTAGAGCTGATGTCTCCTGTTTCCAACTTCCGAAGTCACTGCCCCGAGCTAAGGTCCTGGGCAGAAGAATCTGCAGCAGAGCCGGGTCGGGGCTTGGATAGAACGGCAGGACAGCCACGTTCGCGGAGCGCCCAGGAGGCCCCAGGCGCTAGAGTAAGCCCTTGGCGTGAATGAGCCCCCCGAGCTCTGGCAGACCGCACCAAGCTGGGCAGGTGCGGTGTTTGGGGGAGAGATCAAGCGAGGCAGCTTGAGGCCACAGTTCAGGGAGGGTGGGAGTCTGGACCAGGCACAGGGAGCCGGGACCCACGCTCAAGATCATGGCCTCTCCGCGCGGCCTCGCGAAGGTTCTTCTATCTGTCACGGACCTGGGCGGGGTGGTGTGAGGTTCCCTGGGCCCTTGTTCTGCCGTGAGGAGGTTGGAAGTGGTCTGTGGGGCAGCCGTTCAGGACAGGGCTGCTGGAAACAGAGCCCCACTGTGCGCCCACAGTCGGGGGATGATGTTGGAAGGAAGTATGGATGCTGTCAGCTGAGCCAAAGGGAAGCCCTCTCTGTGGCCCTGGAGCCCGGGAGCCTGGGGGGCTGGAGTCTGTCTCTAGATCCAGCCCTGTCACCTGCCAGCCAGTCCCCTCGTTTCCCGTATGTAATGGTCCCCACTTGACCCCATGTCAAGCTGGGCATCCTGGGCACAGTAGGGTGCCCTTGGTGACCTCCAGAGCCTCCTCCATGCCCATCCCGCTCTCTACACTCCCAGGCCTGGCACGCATGGACCCCTTCTCCCGGCAGCGGGCACTTTCTGGCCCTCCCCACCCCCTTCTCCCAGCCTCGTCAGAAGCACCACTAGAGCGGACCCCGCCACCCCGCCTCGGGCATCTCCTTAGTTACTGCCTTAAAGCTGAAGACCTCGAGAGCAGTCTGGCACGCTCCCGTGACCCACCTGGTCTTGGCAGGAGTGAGCTGCTCATGGAGCGGGTGTGGACGGACGTCCGAGGCTCCGCGTGCCTTGTGAACTTCCAGCGGATGATGGCGCTTCTGGTTCACAAACACTTTGAGTAGCGAGTGTCTAGACCCCAGGCTGTTAGCTTCTCAGTCCGGGGATTCAGGTTTACAAGAGGAATTGGTCAGACAGCATCTGGGGTAGTTCGGCGGGGGCTGGAGGGCTGGAAACCAGGTCTTCCGAGGAGAGATTGGAGAAATTTAGAATGTTTGGTGAAGGGAAAATGAGCCAAAGAAGTCAGTAGCCAGGTGAGGGGCTTTTCCAAAACCTTGTGAGAGGCGGTGCTCTTCCAGAGGGTGGAGGGATCCGTGAGTCCAGACCAGCGTTCCTCAAACACAGGCCTCAAGCAATATTCCCACCGAGTCTTACTGGAAAGATGGTCTCCCCCATACGAGCTCAGCATGGGCACAGTCGCCAAAGGTCTGTGGCGCTCATTGGTACCTCAAAGGCTCTGAGCGGTCTTGCAGGAAAGGAACTGGTCTGACTTTGTAAGGCCGAAGCACCCCTCACTTACTTTACCATAAAGCGATGCTCTTGCTATCAATGCGGTTACTATCATTCAGAACTACTGAGGAGGCCAGCCTTGCGCCGTGAGTGTGAGAGTCCGGCGCGTGCCGGGAGGCAGGCTTTGAAGGAGGCTCTCTGAGCGCAGGGCTTCTGGTTGTGCGCCTAGCCCCCTGTCTGCTAACTGGACAGTAGTTTTCAGACTTGAAAATGGAACACGACGATTTCAAGTGAAACTCCAACCTAAAATGCACCTGCAAAAAGGGGCTCTGTTGAAATTGGGGCTGCCAGCCTGGCCCTTCTTTGGCTCCCCACCCCCCAGCATCCTCTGCACCCTGAGGCCCTCCAGGAAGGCCTCCTCAGAGTGGACAGACAGCTGGACAAGGGGAGCTGTCCCTGACATACTAGCGCCCCTTCTGTCACTCAGGTTCTGTCTTTTCTTTAGGCGGATGTTCCCTGTTCTGAAGGTCAGCGTCACAGGGCTGGACCCCAATGCCATGTACTCCCTCCTGCTGGACTTTGTCCTCACGGACGGCCACCGCTGGAAGTACGTCAACGGGGAGTGGGTGCCCGCCGGCAAGCCGGAGGTCTCCAGCCCCAGCTGTGTCTATATCCACCCCGACTCCCCCAACTTCGGGGCCCACTGGATGAAGGCGCCCATCTCCTTCAGCAAAGTGAAGCTCACCAACAAGCTCAACGGAGGTGGCCAGGTACGGCGGGGTCACTTGGCCATCCGGCCGCCCCACAACACCAATCAAGAAATATCAAGGGTGCATTTAGGCAATTAGAGGGGTCCTCACCAGCCTCTTCTCCCACAGAAGCCAATTATTCCCGGGAGTCCAAATGTGAACTGGAATAAACAGCTCTTAATTGGTGCTTTCAGTTTTTAATGGACTTCCTGATGTTAAAAGAGCGAGTGGGGGAGCGCGTAGTTTACTTAATCATCAGGGGCCCTTTCAGACTTAGTCTTGTGTGTGCGGCTTTTTATCCGGGGCCCTGGGTGGGAGGTACTTGGGGGCCCAGAGCTTTGTCTGTCCCTCTCCCCTCTTCTGGTGTAAGTGGCGTGTTGGCAGTAGACAAACACCATAATAAAAAGCTGCTCCTAAATGAAATAATTGCTACCTCCACTTGGGCATTATGATAATTATCAATAGAATATTGAATCAGCTTTGGGTTTTCAGAAGAAAAAATCCAAACAAACCTTAAATAAGGAAGGTTTTACATAAGGTCTCCAATTAGAGTAAACGACATCTGGGGGCTTTTTCCTCCTTGTTTTCTCTGGGAGGGTTGCGCACACTCAGGTACTGTGTAAGGCTGTGTGTTCACTTTGTGAAATGGGAACTGCTTGGGGGGTTAGAGGCACAGCTGGGAGGACGGGGTGGTGACCCTGCCCTGCTCCCCATGTTTTGCTTTGGTGCCCCCCAACCGCCCTGCCCCGGCATTTGCCCCTCTGATCACTGCGCTTGGCCAGCTGGGGTGTAGGAGTGCATGTCTCCGAGGGAGAGGGACCCTCCCGGAGGGACGCCCCAAGCCTCTGCAACATGCAGAGGGTCCCAGCTCTTCATCAGAAGTAAACCCTGTGGCCTCCCAGGCCTCCCGGGAGTTGCCACAAACCTTCCATCTGAAGCACAAGGAGGCCTGTATGTGGCTGTCGGGCGCCCAGCGCGTTGCTCTTCGGGTTCACACTTGTGAAATGCAGCCCAGTCGGTGTTTTGAGATATCAGGAGTTCTCAGTATGGGGAAAACCAATACGACTTATGGATCAAAATCCACATTGCTGAGCTGAAAATAGGGAGAGGAAAAAAGAAAGCCAGGGGTTTAACAGAAAACTGAATGTTTTTTAGAACGATTCCTCCCTGGCAACCTACCCCTCACCTCCCACAAGCTCCAACATTGTGACTGGAGCTTCTGAAAACTGCCACACCGAGAGCTCAGAGAGGCGCGGGGGTGCCGCGGGGGGGCCGCAGGGCCGTGGGGGCTGCAGCGCGTGGTCCTGGCCGGGGTGGACGGCGGCCGGGGACCAGCTAAGGGGCCGGCTCCTCGCTGCTGGCCCGCCTTCTCTGCCTCTGCCTCTTCTGGCCCAACAGATCATGCTGAATTCGCTGCACAAGTACGAGCCCCAGGTCCACATCGTGCGCGTGGGGGGTGCCCATCGAATGGTGACGAACTGCGCCTTCCCAGAGACCCAGTTCATAGCTGTGACAGCCTATCAGAACGAGGAGGTGAGTGTGCTGAGGGTGCCTGGGGACGGCGGGTGGCATCTGCTGGGCATTGCTGCGCCCTGGCCAGGCTTGGAGGACAGGTAGGTTTCCCGGGTTCAGACACCTCAGCATGAGTTCACCAGCGGGGTGGGCGCTTTCCACGCCCTCCTGCCCGGGTGCCTCAGGGTCCCGGCGCTTCCGCTCCTGGTGCCAATAAGGTAGGGCTGCCATGCAGTGGCCCACCCACCCTGGGAGTCCCTGTGGTCAGGCCTGGAGGGCCCCTGGCCTGCATGGAGCCAGTGTCCCCCCTGCTCTGGAAGTGGGCCCACGGGGACCCACCCAAATGTGCACCACTTTTGGGTCTGCGCTGCGCATCTAGTCCGTCCCGGGCCTTTCTGAGCACCTTTGTTCCTGCCTGACTGGGGCCCCTGGGAGGTCAGAGCTGAGAGCGAGCCTGGGAGAAGGGCGTTCCCAGGCCGGGGTTCCCAGGAGCTCCAGCAAGGCTTGGCTTCTTCGTGGTTCAGTGTTTTTTAGAATTTAAAGGTCATACTTGTCTTTAAACACCACTTAATAGGCGAACAGCACAGAAGCGTGTACAGGGCGAATGACACACAAGCTACGATGCCCTCCTTCCCTCCCACCTTTCAGACCCCACTCCCCAGGGACCCTATACGAATATATATGAGGATAAAGGTTTCCTCGCATGAATTGCCTTGTGTTGTACATGTCAGTCTGCAAATTTCGTCCCCCCACGCCCCAATTGCCAGTGTTTATGGGTACCTTTCTAGATAATTAGATGCAGGCATATCTACTTTTTTGAAATGCCAGCGGAAGATAGACCATCTTTCAGGCAGTCAGCTTCCCACTGACGTTTAGGTTGTTTCCAGTCCTTTCATTTGTTAATATAAATAATACAGCAGAGACCATCCCAGGTCACCTGTCGTTGGCTCGCGTAGGTAAACACCTAAAACAGTATTGCTCTGTCATGGGAGCATCGGTTTAGAGTTGAGGTAGACACCATCTCCAAAGGCCATAACAATTTGCAGTCCGCACGCCGTTCCCCACGCTGGCCATCATCGACCTTCTTCAGCCTGGATAATCTGATAGGTCAAAAAATGTTGCTATCTTGTTGCTTTAACTTACATTCCTTTATTCGGAAGCTTTAGAAGATTTTAGGCTCCCACCTAGCCAACTGAGTCAGGGACTCCAGGCATGGCGCCCGGAATGCCTAGTTTTAAAGTCTCCAGAAAGGATTTTGATGAACCCTGAAGTCTAAGAACTTCTGTCTTGGCGCCTGCTGGTGAAATCAAGTCGCAGATTTAATTCACATCACAGATGGCAGAGGAAATGTAATTTCTTTTCTGTAGGTAACCTGGCCTGTTAGCCAAGCCCTTTAGCAGGTCAGAGGGAACAGAAAGGAACTGTCTGATCATTCAAACAGGCCCTCGCTGGTGCTCCGTCTGGCAGACAGCCCTCCTTCCCTGCCTCTCTCCCTGGGATGGAGTCTGGGTCTCTGGGGAGAGGGTGTGGCTTTTACAGCTCTGGGGAGTGGGGCGGAGTTGGGGTCTGCGCCCTGGCCTCCTCTGGTCCCCTCGTGCACGTGTGTGCTGCCTGCTGCGGTCTGTGGCCAGCACGACTTGTCCCCTGATTGCCCCGGGGGCTTTTCCTCGACATGTGCTGGATGGTCCCCTCTGAGCCCCAGCCTGACTAAGGCCACCCCTCTTCAAGTCACACAACCTGACATCATACTTCCGGCTCGGGACATGCCCCGTGGGAATCAAGTTGGGGGTAATCTACCCTCAGGGCCTCCCTCTGCCAATGGCATTTCGCTACCAAGGTGTGGGTGCACCTTGAGGGGAGAGCAGGCATGGGCCCAAATCTGCCCTGTGCCCACTGCTGGCTTCCCTCGTGCACCTTGACCTCCCCAGGGTCAAGCCGAGAGGAAGCCCAGGTCAGGCGGATCTGGCTCTCAGCTCTCCCCTCTCTTCCTCCCGATTCCTTCCCACAGGTCCTGGGCCAGAAAGAGTGGTGCTTTTATTTTGCTTTTGTTCCTTCCACCAGAGAGCTGCAAGTCTCAGGCCCTTGCTGACGTAAACCTTCTCTCCAACATTTATTCATTCAGCAAACACATGTTGAGTATCACCGCAGGCTGGGTGCTCTGTGCTCTGGGGGTGTGGCAGCCGTTACGGCAGACGTGTGCCCTGTCCTCATGGCACTTGCATCCCCTGGGAGAGACGAAAACCCAGTGCATATCCTGTTAATGTGTCAGATGGCGCATCTGAAGACAAATGGAGCAGGCCGTGGGTGCGAAGGGTGGTGGGGTGGGGGCGAAGGTTTGTTTTGCATTAACACGGCCCTGTGGCAAGTGATTTATTTAAGAAGAGCGGGGGAGCTGCTGCAAGTCTGTGAGCTCCCAGAGAGGCGCGGTCCCACCAGTATTATTCTCCTCTGTGTTATTCTCTCCATGACTGGAAGCGTAGCTGGCATGGGGTAGGTGTTCAGTGGCTGCGGAGGATGAATGCCGGGTCTGGCACACCAGCCTTTGCCCACGGCTCATGCTTTGCCCCCTCTTTGCTCGCTTTGTGCTGCATTCGGCTCTTTACTGCAGGCCGCATAAAGTGGTCTTTGTGGGAGGTGGTGCAGTAATGATTTCCAGCAGATGTAAGCAGAGAAGTGCGGGGAGGGAGGAAAGAAGAGACGGGGAATCATTTTGATTTTACAGAACTTGGCAGGTGAAGATGTCTGGTCATGTGTGGTCCCTCTTCACTAACCCTTCTTGTCTTTGCAAACGTAAGATAACAGCTCTCAAAATCAAGTACAACCCCTTTGCCAAAGCCTTCTTGGATGCCAAGGAAAGGTGAGTAGAGACGTTTTTAGTAAACTCTTATGAACTGACTTCTGCATATGTGACATTGATGACCGTCTTTAAAGGAACTGGACTGGTGGCACTTACATCACTTTTGATAGAAATGGGTTTTCAATATTTAATTCAATAGTCAACAAAATCACAATTCAACAAATTCCTAAGCTGGCCCTTAAAATAGGGACCTAGGAAAGCCTCTAGCTGGCCGTGTTTTGTCAGCTCCGTTAAAAAAACACAATTTAGACGTTTAGTTACTGGCTCTGGCCTTCCCCCAGTTAACTCTGAGCAGTATGGTTGCAATAAATGTGTCCTTTAAAAAAAGTACTACATTTAGCCTTGGAAAAGTGAGTGACTGATATGAGTAACTCTTAAAGGTGAGAGGTTCATGTCGTTTAGGCCCGAGGGCAGAGACGTCAAAGGAGGGGGTCTGCGAAAGATGACTTTACCCCTTCCGGCCAGTGACTTCACGTCTCTGTGTTTTCCCTTTCCATTCTAGGAAAAAAATTAAAGAATAGTGGAATTCATCATTGACTCGGACCAACAATACCCCCTCTAACTGTCTAATCTTCCCTTTCCATCTTAAAGACTAGATTGATGGACAGGTATTTATAATGGCGTGTCCCAGGGTCTGTCCTGTCCATATCTGATTTAGTTTCAATGATGAGGAAGACCTTCTCAGAGCTTTTTCAGAAGGCCTAAAGAAAATATGATGGATGAGATGACAGAATCGAGGTTCAAACTGATGGCAGTGGGGGTAGACTAAAAAGAATTTAGGGCTTTGAGTAACAGATTCTGACCCTGAGTCCTGGCTTTGCTGTTTCCCGGCTCTTTGATCTTGCATAAGTCACTTTACCTCCCTGAGGTCCACTTTTGAAATCTGCAAAATGGTCGTAGTAAAAATATTTCCCCCAGAGGATCGGGGTGGATCTGACATAGCACAGATGCGATCACGGCCGGAAGTCCTGTAGGGGTCTGACCTGTTATTTTTGCTCGGAGTCGGCCAGGTGGGAGCAATGCCTGCACGTCCACGGGCACAGACTAAACAGGGGCAGCCGTAAGCAGGGCCAACTGGTGTGGCCGCGGGACTGCAGTTCCAAGGGCCATTGTGCAAGTGTGATGTGCTGTGGGGGAAGGGGAAGGGGTTTGGTTGGTGACTTCAAGGAGAAAAGTGTTTGCTCGTCTCATTCCAAGGAATGTACTGCTGTCCAGGGGGACTCTGGGGGCACTTTGTGCAGCACAGTCATGCGCCCTTTGCTTCTTCTTCCAGGAACCACCTGAAGGACATGCCAGAAGCCCTCTCGGAGAGCCAGCACGTGGCCTACCCTCACTGTGAGTGGGGCGGCGCTGGGCGGGGACCTGGGGCTGCCCCCGAGGGGGCTCCCGCCACACGCAGGTTTTCCACCTGTGGGGAGTGCTGTGGCCTCTTGCCGAGCTTCTGTCAAGACTGCACAGATTATTCCTCCCAGTCAAGACAAGGGTGTGTCCTTTCCAGAATTCCCAGGGGCTTAACCAATCGCAGGCAGGAGATAAGAATGGGAAGGATGAGTTTCTTAGACGCCAGTGTTTGTATCAGTGAGGCTAAGGACTCTCAGCGTGCATTCTGGGTGTGCATGCCTGCCACGGCTCGGGCAGGCTGTAGCCTTCCCTGTGAGGAAAAGCCTGCATTTGTTGACTGGAGCTACAGGGAGAGTTGGAAATACACCTGGGATTCTGCAGGTAGCCTTGGGTAATTCTACCAGGTGCCAATCTCTATGCCAGATTGTAGAGGAGGCCCCGCGGAGCCAGTCCTCTAAAACTGCAGCAGTGACCCAGGGGCAGTGACTTCCGACTGGAAGACACAGGCCTGGTGTCCGAGATACTCCCTGATCTGAATTACAGTGGTTTGCGAAGGTCCCTGTGCACTTGCCCAGCTCTGGGATTCCTTACTGCGTCCTTCCCTAGAACCTTAATGCATCGTCCCTGGCAGATGGGGCAGTGCGGCCACCTGAAGAGAAGCAGCTCCCAGCAAGCAGTCTTTCAAGTGACCTGCAGTAAAGAGCCTTTCTGTACCGTATAGGACCGTGAGCAGAGCCACATCTTGTCAAAGGCCATGCCTTGCCATCCTCCTGAGGTGTGCACGTTATATGTGGCAAGCTCAGTGGACAGACACCTGGTTCTGGAAGACCCTTTGCCTGGCTTTGCCCACTGGACACCTGAATATTGAGTCTGTTAGCCAGGCAGGGACCCCTTGGGTCACATGATTTTACAAGAAGGGGAAAATGAAGATGCCAGAAGGATTCACTGAGAATGGAAGACCACACTTTATAATAGGACATCTGTACAATTTGTTTACTTATCATTTAAAAACGATTAGCTAAGATGGTGGTTTTTAGTAAAAGCTCTGTTCCCTCAGAACTGAAGTCAGTGGCAGTCCTCAGTCAGTATTCCTACGGAGCAGCTCCGGCCCTGTCTGAACCTTCATCTGTGGGCCTTGGTTGGGATCCGGCCAGTGAGGGGCTGTGCTTGTTCCAAGCCCGCCCTCCTCGCCTTTGGTCTTTGCCAGGAACTCCCTTGAAGCAGAGCCTGCCATCAGAGTCCGCACTCCTTTGTGGTTGTGACAAAAACCCCACATAGTATAAAATGCACCCTCCCAACGATTCTGTCTGTATGATATGATAATGTCAACCACATGCATGTGGTGGTGCAAGATTCCCAGAGCCCATCGCCTTCCTGCCATGCCCAAACCACCTCCACCAAGCAGCAGCCTTCACCTCTTCCTGCCCCGGCCTCTGGCACCCACCCTCCTACTTTCTGTCCCCATCTCCTTCTCCACCTCAATCTACTGTAGATACCTAATATGAGAGGCATATGCACTATTTGTCTTTTTGTGGCTGGCTTATTTTGCTTAGCCTCATGTCCTTAGGTTCATCCATGTTGTAGCATGTGGCAGGACTTTATTCTTTTTTTTTTCTTTAAGGCTGAATAATATTCAACTGTCCATATGTATCAAATTTATCCATTCACCTGCTGATGGACATTTACATTGTTTCCACCTCTTGGCTATTGTTAATAGTGCTGCAGTGAACATGGGTGTGCAGATATCTCCAATTCTTTTGGATAAATACTCAAAAGTGGGATTGCTGGGTCATATGGTCCTTCTATTTTTAATTTTTGAGGATCCTCCATGCTGTCTTCCTCGGCAGATGCATCATTTTACATCACCACCAGCAGTGCACAAGGGCTCTGATCTCTCCACATTCTTGTCAACACGTGTTATTTCTGTCTTGTTTTCTGGATAATGGCCCTTCTAACAGTGTGAAGTGATTCCTTGTGGTTTTGACTTGCATTTTCCTGATGATCAGCGATGTTGAGCATCTTTTCATATACTTATGGGTACTTTGTATATCTTTGGAGAAATGTCTGTTTAAGCACTTGGCCCATTTTTTAATGAGTTTGTTTGTTTTCTGTTGTTTATTTGTAAGAGGATTTTTTACGTATTCTGGATATTAATCCTTTATCACATATTTGGTCAGCAAATATTTTCTTCCATCCCATCAGTTTCCTTTTCATTTTGTTGGTTGTTTCTTTCTCCGTCTCCATCTCCAGAATTTTAAGTTTGGTGTCATCCCATTTGTCTATTTTTGCTTTTGTTGTCTGTGCTTTTGGTGTCATAGCCAAGAAATCATTGCCAAGACAGAAATCATCAAGTTTTTCTCCTCTGCTTTCTTCTAGGAGTTTAATAGTTTCAGGTCTTACATTTGTCTTTAATCCATCTTGAATTAATTTTTATATATGGTGTAAGAGTCCACCTCTTTCTTTTGCATGTGGATATTTAGTTTTCCTAACACCGTTTGTTGAAGAGATTATCCTTTTCCATTCCTGTAGTCTTGCAGCTTTGTTGAAGATCATTTGACCATATGAGCAGTAGCTTATTTCTGGGCTCTCCATTCTGTTCCATTGGTCTGTGTGTCTGTCTTTATACCAGTACCACACTACTTTGATTACTGTAGTTTTGTAATACATTTTGAAACCAGGAAGTGAGAGGCCTCCAGCTTTGTTCTTCTTTCTCAGGATTATTATGGAATCTTTTGAGATTCCATATGAATTTTAGCATTGTTTTTGTTTTATATCTGTTAAAAATGCTATTGAGATTTTGATAGGGGTTGTGATGAATCTGTAGACAGCTTTGGGCAGTATGGCCACTTAAATAATATTAAACCTGCCAATCCATGAACATGGGATGTGTTTCCATTCATTTGTTTCTTCTTTAATTTCAGCAATGTTTTGTAGTTTTTGGTGTACAAGTCTTTTGCTCCTTGGTAGAGTTTATTCCTAATTATGTTATTCTTTTGATGCTATCATAAGTGGAATTGTCATAATTTATTTTTCAGTTAGTTCCTTATAGTGTATAGAAATTGCAACTGATTTTGATTTTGTATCCTGCAACTTTTCTGAATTTGTTTATTAGTTCTAACAGTTTTTTTTTTTTTTGTGTGTGTGTGTAATCTTTAGAGCTTTCTACATGTAAGGTCATATCATCTGCAAACAGAGATATTTTATTTCTTCCTTTCCAATTTGGATTTGGAACAAACCTTCCCTCGCTCGCGCCCCCTGTTCCTTCTTTCCCTGACTGCTCTGGTTAGGACTTCCGGGACTGGGTTGAATAGAAGCCATGAGAGTGGATGTCCTTGTTTTGTTTCTGATCTTAGAGGAAAAGCTTTCAGTTTTTCACCATTGAGTATGAGGTTAGCTGTGGCCTTTATTATGTTGAGGTAGGTTTCTTTCATTCCTAGTTTGTTGTGTTTTTTTTTTATATCATGAAAGGGTGTTAAATTTTGTCAAATGCTTTTTCTGAATCAATTGAGGTGATCATTCAGAAATAATTTCTACGAGGTACTTTGCAGCCTTCCAAAATATTCTGCAAGATTCTTTATGCCAAAATGATGTGCCAGCCAGCTCCTTATCTTTTGTGTTCAGAACCCTCTTTGTGGGGCAGTGATGGGAGGCATCTTGTCTCCTCCTGCTTGGAATGAAAGCTACAGACATCCTCCCACTGTGCAGAGATGGAGAGGTTGCCCCTCTTTCTGTGTAACATTAACATTTCTTGGTAGCTGTAGATCAACAGGTTACATATGCATCTAACACCTCCTTCTTAGATTGACTTTTAATTTAATTCAATTACATCAGAAGCAACTTAACTTTTGTATTTCTATTAACTTACACATTCAAACAGTCTTTTATATAGCTCTGATTCCAGGGTCCCTTAAGAGGTTTTCTCAACTTTGGTAGTTATGCTGGGGTTCTTGTTTGCAGAGTTGAAGAATGAACTTAGCAAACACCCACAGTAGGAGAGCCAGGGAGAGGCTTTTAGTGAGAAATACAGTGAGAAGACAGAGCTCCTGGCTCAGGCCAGGAGGGGACAAGAGAGCTGGGGGTGGTGCGCTGTTTAGGGGTTTTATAGGCAGTTGAGGATTTTTGGGTAGTGAAAAAAAAGGCTTAGGGGTGTGGACTTGTTAAGTAGTCTCTGAATATTTAGAATTAACTTAGCACAAGGAATTTCCTGCTCTGATTTCTTCCTGAGATACCTGCATCTTGGTCTGGGAACATATCAAACAAGGCCACCTGCCCAGCCCCCAAGATGGGCTGAGGTATTGTTTGCTAAAGAGAAGTTAAGAATCTTACTTCTGAAGTTCTCGGGTATTAAAATGCAATCTTATCTTTAAGGTGGAATCCTTCCTGCCTTTTGCTATGTTGTCTACAGCTGGGCCTGCAGGTAAATTAGTTGCCCAGTTTGCAAATCATGTCATTAGGTCTGAAGGAGGAAAGACAGCACTTAGGCCTGGGCCTTTAGCATGCTAAGGTGAATCTTACACATGATTACAAATGATCAGCATAATAAAAACATGTACTGCCCATCTTTATCTGGGGAGTATTAACTGATCTCACTGAAGAATGACTCTAGAGCTGAATGCTTAGCACAGTTTTGGTAGGGGGTTTCCGTGCAGGTAGTTACATGGCTCCGACTGCAGATATCCTGCCTTGCTTTTTCCGGAGGCCCCCACCCCACTCTGACTACACCCACCATCCCTGTCTCAGTAGGACCTGTTGTCCATCTCCAAAGAAGCCCACTTAGCTGCTCATATGGAAGGGGAGTGGCACCAGGGGTGGTGGATGCCACCACGTCCCCACACGGGCAGACAGAGAGGTTTGTACAGAAACAGAGCTATGCAAGGTAGCTGGCGTCCTGATTCTTGGTGTAGACGTCCACAGTCACTGTCTGTGTCCCCCTCTTCTTTGTCCTAGTGGGAGGCTGGATCTTTCCCAATCCAGATGGAGTGTGCGGCGGGGGCAGCGCCAGTCACCAGTATGCCACTCCTCTGCCTCTGTCCTCTCCCCTCACCCACCCCAGCTGTGAGCGCCATCCTGGCCTCCGAGGACGCCGGCAGGCTCCCTACCCTCCCGCGTACGTGCATAGAAACCATTCTCCCTCAGGTGTGTGATTCTGCTAATATAACCCTTGGGGGCAGCGGTGGGGGTGGTGGAGAGAAATGGGTGAACAGCCAGTAACAAGAAGTGTCTGAGCATGGAACTCCTTTCCTCTAAGATACATAACATCGTTGTATATTATTATTTTAGTATTTCATTTTATATACTAATAGTTGAGTATGCAGTTATAACATTATTAGTGTTTGGTAATTATTTCATAAGACACTCAGCTCCTAGTTTCCAGAGGGTGTGACGGCCTCCTCCCAGGCGCAGCGGTGCCGAGCTGTGTCGGGCTGAGTCTCTCGGCTCCTGCCCTCACGTGGCCCTTTCCTGCGGCGGTACGGTGTGGCTCGGGCCGGGGAGCACCGGGCCTGGGACCACAGAGCTGTCGGGAGGATCTCTGGAGGCTGGGTCGCTGCGCATCCAGGCTTGGATGCGGTCCTGTTGGAGGCGCACAGACCCAGCTGCGGGCGCTGTTGCCGTCTACTAATTTTCTAAGTGGTTGCTATTACTTTCGCTGTTCTCCCTCCCTGACTGCCTCCTTGTCTGCCGTCGGCCTTACGTAAGCACAGACCTTGCCTGGTTATTAGATTTGTGCAAGGGAGGGGAGAAAGAAAACCAAGGGTTAATTTCCCATTCAGTTATTTATGCAACAGATATTGAGGGTTGACTGTGCACCGCACCAGGTTCTGTCCAAGAACGAAACGGGCAAACACTGAACCCTCACGGACACGCTGGTCTCATGGGGGGATCAACGCTGAGTAAAACAAGTCAGCAGAGCTCACAGCATGGGAGACGGAGGACAGCGTTGGTAGGGACCTGAGGGCCTCAGGGACCCTGAGCCCTGCATGCGCAGAGGGCTCGGCTGGCTGCACCACTCTGTCCCGCTGCCTCTTCTCCTGGCCACCCCGGCAGCGGCCACCGGGACACGAGGCAGTGAGGCTTAGTGACACCAGGGGCTGAGCAGTGTCCTCGCCCTGCCGCCTGGTTCTCGCCCGCGCGGGACACAGAGCACATGTGTGGGGCATCGGCCAGGCACCACAGGCTCTTCTAGGCAGTGGGGATGCGAAGGTGGTGAAGCTATAATTTTGCCCCTGGAGGAGATCAGGGCTACACCACTACGTAAATAATTAATCATAATACAGCACAGCGAGAGCTGTGGTGAGGCCCTCGACCCGCAGCACCACCGGGGACGTGCTAGAAGTAGACTCTCAGGCTCTCCTTCTGAAAAAGTCTACGTTTTAATGAGATGCCCAGGGGCTGCTCGGGCGTACTGCTCTCCGGGGAGCCTCCTACGGAACGCAGTGGCCATGGCGCTGTGGGAACGATGAGAGAAGAGCAGCTGTCTGCCCTGAGGGCGGGCCGTTTCCGTCCTGAGCGGGAGGATGAAGAGGAGAGTGCACACGTGGGCATGGGTGAAGGAGGGATGACGGGACGCAGGCAGAGGTGACAGCGCCCCGGGTGGAGAGTATGTGGGCAAGGCGCGGGTGGTGGGCGGGCCTGGGCGGCTGGGGGGCAGCCTGGGGGCAGAGGTGGGGAGGGCGATGCAGGAGCTAAGGCCCAAGAGGTTCTGCAAGTGCCCGCTCATGACCGAGGGATGGCCAGCTGGGGTTCCCGCTGAAATCTTCTCCCTCCCCCTTGTGCCCTTCCTGCCCCCCTTCCCGTGTCCTCTTCTCTGCGACCCGCACCGTGGAGATTCAGGGACACAGAGGATGCTGCTCTTGAGATGTTTCAGTTTACTTGGGGTTGCTGGGAGGAAGCAGGACCCGGTGCCCAGAAGCCTCATTTGGGGCCCTGGCACCCCTTGGCTTATGTCGAGGGGATGCTCACGTGGTCTGTTCTTGAAGAGGCGTGAGTGTGGTGACGGGAGTCAGACGTGTGTCACAGGGGCAAAGAAACCCCCTCTCTGAGCCTCATCTGTGAAATGGAGATGAGAGGTATGAGCCGTTGTCGTTTCCCCAAAGTGAATCTGATAGAAAGCTCCAGCACGAATCTGCAAGTTTTCTCCGGAGCTGACAGCTGGACCTCCTTGTCCTCTGCACCCCACACCAGCATCCTGCCTGTGCCCCCCGCCAGCGGACCCATCAACCCCGGGCCGAGGTAAGGCCAAGGCCGGCGACTCGCGCACCGGTGGTTCTGGGGGTTTCCTTAGCGCTGGCCACCCGGGTTCATTCTCCCTCCTGGGGCGGCTTGGTCCAGGCTGTTGTGCTGACTTCAGGCCGCTAGGAAGGTGGGGCGATGGCGGGACGGACCTTTCGCTCCGGGCACAGGTGGGTAGGAAGGCCCCTGCTCAGTCATACAAGTCATACACTCTTTCTTTTGTAGGCTGGATATCTCCTTTCTAAAAGGGAGAAGACCTTAGAGAGCGTTGGTCTCAGTCAGTGGGACCTCAGTCAGTGGGTTCTGAAATAGGTCAAGCCACGCATGAACCCTGGGAACTCAAGACCCTGATTGTCCATATTCTCCTGAGCTGCCAATCCTAATGGGGGCAGGTTGCGGGCACCCAGGTGATAGGGCTGAGGGCAGCATGTGGGACCCCTGGCTTTACTGACCCCAGACACCTAGCTTCAGTTCTGGTTTCAGGAAGCCAATGGGAAGGGGTCCTGGCATCTGGCAGATGTGGGCTCGAGTCCCAGCTCTGCCTCTATGCCTTTGGGCCATGTGGCTATGCCCTTAGCCTCACTGAGCTTCAGTTTTCTTATCTATAACATGGAAATAATGTGACCTAGTCTGTCGGTCACGGTGAACCTCAAAATTAGAACACATGTCAAAATGCTCTCTAAAAATGTCAGCAGGTATGCTCAACATAGGTGTGCAGGATTTTGAGGAAGGTCCAAAGAGGGGTTCAAAATTAGAACGTGGGACTTGGGAAGATGCCAGGTGATTTGTGGTCTGTGGGGTAAAGTTCGGGGAATGTAATGGCCTGCCCAGTGCTTCACACCTAAGGGTGCATCAGCATCTCCTGGGGGGTTGTAAAAATGTGCAGTCTGATCGATGGGTCGGGCCTGGGGCCTGCGAGTCTGCATTCTCACCAAGCTTCCAGGAGTCACAGACGTTGCTGTAAGCTGGGATCCTGGTGATTTTGGTTCTGATGTCCCTGTGGCCACAAGGGTCAACACCTATGTTGAACATACCAGCTGACATTTTTAGAGAGCATTTTGACTCGTGTTCTAATTTTGATGTTCACCATGACTGACAGAATAGCTCACGTTATTTCCATGTCACAGAGAAGAAAGCTGAAGTTCAGGGAGGCTGAGGACATTGCCCAAAGGCACACCTGTGTGGGGCACAGCGGCCAGTGGGAAAACCATGGCCTCCGAATCTATGGTTGAAATTGGGGTCAGAATTGCAGTGCGCTGAACTGGCTCAAAAAAACAACAAAAAAAAATATAGCTCAAGGCAAGTATGGGTTTCTACAGGTTTCCTACAGCCCGGGAGGCCTAGTGTCTGAGATGCCGCCCAGGTGCAGGACGGATGTTAAACCCCTTCCTGACTCTAAATAGATTTTTCTAGAGCAAAGCAAGCGTGTTCCGTCATTGCGTAAGGGGCCTGTTGTCAAGCAAGGCGATACCAGGCACGGCCGATGGTCTAAAAAGTCAGAGCCTAGTGGGCACGAGAGGCTTGAAGCCCTGGAGGGTGTCCTGGTCCACCTGCAGGCATTTTCATCCCGGTTCTATGTGAAGGCACAAAAGTTACTGCACATCGCCATTCACCAGGAAGCTTTAAAAAATCCTGATACCCAGGTTGTGTGCCCGACTCGTTAAACAGCATCCCTGGGGGTAGGACCCGGGCACCAGTCTTTCTGAAACACTTGCTGAGTGACGCCACGTGCAGCCAGGTTTGGGGGCGGTGCTGCAGCGCAGGAGGGGACCGAGTGTGGCCCCTCTCCCGGCCTGCTCCCAGGGACCAGGACCGGAGGGATGAATCGTAACCACCCCGCTTTCTCAGTGCTGTTAGGCGTCCTACACTCATCTTCTTACTTAGTCCCCACAGCACATCTGTAGGGTGTGTTTAATTATCAATCCAAACCTTGAAGATGAGGAAACCGAAGCTCAGGGACATGAGATAATTTGGCCAAGGTCACAGAGCTAATAAGTGACAGGGCTGAAATTCAAACCTGGGTTTTCCACACCAGTTGGCCCTGTTCTGTGCCAGTGGCCTCTCTCGGCCGGTGAGAGATCCAACTCCCGGGTCCCAGCGTCCGGACAGTGCCCTTTGGTCTCCTGCCTGTTGTCGCAGGCTGCACGGGAGCCTAGGGAAATAAAGTGCTGTGCTCAAAGCTGAGCACCCTGCCATGGCCGAGCCGGCCTCGAAGGCCAGGGCTCGGGACACCTGGTGCGTGATCGCTGCGCCCCATGTCCCTGCTGCCCTGGGCTTCTCTGCAGAAACAGAGCCCGCCTGTGTCTGAGCCAGATGTGAAGCTGTGGCCAGAGGGCTCTTCCTCGACCCGCGAGTGGGCCGTTGGCAGCATTCCCTCCTAGGGTGTCCTCAGGCTCCCTGTCTGTCTGTCTGTCTGTCTCGCAGCCCCTACCCGTGCCTGTGGACCATCGGCGGCAGTGGCGGGGGCCCCGCCGGGCCGGGCACAGAGGTGCATGCCAGCTCCCCGGGAGCCTTTCTCCTGGGCAACCCTGCGGCAGCTTCACCCCTGTCTGCTCAGGGCCCCCCTTCGGCTGGTGTGGAGGTGCTGGGGGAACCCTCGCTGACCAGCATCGCTGTGTCCACCTGGACAGCAGTGGCCTCGCATCCCTTCTCGGGCTGGGGGGCCCCCACTGGGGGAGGGCGCCATTCCCCCCCCTCCTTGGAGGGTTAGGCTGGATCCCAGGGCCAGGCGCCAAGAGATGTAGCAGCCCTGCCTGCGGATTCCAGGGGGTCCCACTGCAGGGTCTCCCCGCCCCAGGGCCAGAAGGCTCAGGTTGCATGATGGTTTTGGGTGCCCCGCATCTCTGCCCCGCTGTCTCCTGCACCGCCGTCTTCAGCTCACCCTGCACGCAGGTGGCCCGCCTTCGGTGAGCACCCTCCTGGTGCCCTGCCCCTTCCTCAGATGATTCTCCGAGGTGCCCTCCCTGCCCTGGGGAGGGCACACAGCTGTCAAGCGGGCCCAGAGTTTACTTGGCATAAGGCCTTCATGCAGCCCAGGGGAGTGTGGCCCCAGGGCTTCTGCTCTGAGACCAAGAGAAGCCGTAAGTAAACTAAAATGGAGCTAATCACGTATTACTGGCTGTGGTGTGCCCGGTACTGAGGACATGAGATCGTGTCCCTCGCTCAGACGCTGCTGACGGCTCACCAGCGCCGGCAGAATGAAGTCACGTGTCCTTACTGTACGGAGACCCTCTGCCATCTCCTGCAGCCGTTTCTCTGGCCAGCGCTCCCTCTGTCCCTTAGCGCCCAGTACTCCCATCAAGGCAGACCCCCGGCCGCCATCCCCTGGACACCCGTACACTTCCCCCACCTCCCCCCACCTCCTCTGGGCCTGGGTGGCCTCCTCCACTCCCACCATGTGAGCCCTGCCTGCCCCCCAGGGACTGGCTGGAGCACTAGGGTGTCTGCCCAGGCTCTACCGCTGCTTTGGCCTCCGTTATTGTGCCCCCGCCGCTCAGCCCTCCTTTCATTTTGTCCCCTGTGAGAGTGTCTCTGCCACTAGACTGTGAGCCCGCTGAGGGCGAGGCCTGGCTTCTTGTCTTTGCGCCCACAGTGCCCGTCCCACGCCTTGCCTATAGTAGGTGGCCAATAAACACTGTGCTGAGCTGACATGGTGTGGAGTGCGTCCGCCTACAGGACAGTGGCAGAGCTCGCCGGGGGAGGAGCTCAGGGTCGTGTGTCTGGGACGGGGCCTGTCAGGGCTGGGAGCCTGGGACGTGCTGCGTGCCACCCCAGCGCCTCCTTGGAGGCCCTTCCATTCTCAGTGACCTACGACGCACAGTGCACTACCCAAGGCTGGTGTTTGGGACCCCTTTCGCAGAACCCAGGAGTGCCCGTTAGGAATGCTGATTCCTGGGCACACTCGGTACCTACAGGATCAGAACCCTTGTGCTGGAGTCCAGGAATCTGCATGTCAGACAAGTGCTCGAGGCCGTGGTCAGGGAGCCCAGGGTGGAAGCTGCTTGCCCAGAACAGAGAACGAGAAAGACAGATGCTCCCGGAGCCTCGCCTCGGGGGCCGTTCCACGTCTGCTCCAGCGGGGTATTGCTGTAGCCTGTGAGCAAGTCACTTGGTTTCCGTTTCCTTTTCTGCCCTCCACTGGGTGTGCTGGTCACCATGGAAACGAGGCGCCCAGACCCAGGTGAGCTTTCCCGGGTTGGCATTGTGCTGTGCTGACTGGGCTGCCGCTTGGTGCCACTGAGGCAGCCTGCGGCCCTGCTGCCCCACACGAACCTGTCAGCTGAGCGCTGCACTCCTGCCCCTGCCAGGCCCTCGTCTGGGGCATCCACGCACGGCGCGAGCGAGTCCGTGGCTCCTTCCACACAGAATGGTTGTGGCCAGCACTGCCATTTCATTTCTCGGCCTGGATCTCTGAAACCAGCACCACCAGTCCAGGGAAGCCACGTGGCTGCACTCAGCTGCCTGGCAAGCGCCCCAGTCCCGCATGGGTGTCTGTGCCCGAGGCACAGCGTTCCAGTGCGGCTGCTCTTCGGAAAGCGCTCAGCAGCCCTCGGGGCAGGACTCCCGGTCTCTCTGTGATCCCATTAGAGGCCATTAAGGTATTAAGATGTTAGCATCTCTGCAAGGAGGTGTTTGATAAGTTCTAAGAAGCAGCTGTTTCTCAATCTGCCAGAAGTTGAGGCCCTTGCAGCTCCGGCAGGGCCTCCTCCCCGGTGGTGGTGGTCGGGGGCACAGCTCGTGCTTGGCCGGGCGGTTAGCTGCATGGACCTGTCTTAGTCCCACCCTTCCTGCACGTCCAGGAGCAGACAGAGCATGCGGCCCAGGGGCAGAGAGCAGAAGGAGGCCAGTTAGTTGCCTTCATTCTTTTGCCATTACCTGGCTCAGGTGAACAGGGTCCCTCAGAGCAGTAATGTCGGCATAGCTGACCGTGGGGCGAGCACGTCGCTTCAGTCTGATGGGACACCCAGCTCGGAACCTGCGATGATTTTTAAGCACCCAACACAGTGGCTGGTTTTGCACAGAGGGCCTCCACTGGCGTGCTGTTCCCCGTGCAGCCAGAGACACCACATACCTTCTGGCGTTTTCTCCAGGGGGTCCAGGGCTAATATCTAGTGGGAAGAACATTTGGCTGCGAGGGTCAGTTTAATAAATGACTGAGTCTCTGCTGTCTTAGGCAGAGCTGGGAGCCTTTTATACCATTTCCTGCTCATGTGTCATCCTTACCCAGCTCACTGTAAAAAAACATGCCAGTTTGGGGTTTTAGGACTGTCACGTGAAATTTAAGAGAAACTTAATCCCACCTGAATAAGAAAAGTTAATACCGTCCTTTCAGCCCGATGGACAGGATTCTGAACTGCCCCTGAAGCCTATTTGGAAGTGTCCCCCACGTGGGGCCCATGTTTGGGTCTGGGGGCCCGGCCAGCCCTCCCCTCTAGCTGCCACCAGACGCCTCTGCCCGCCATCCCCGAGCCAGGAGCTCCTTCCCTGCTGTCACCAGTGGGCACCTCCTGGGACGGGCGAGGGAGGGAGGAGAGTGACAACACGAACATGTTCATAAAAAAAATCTCAAGGAGAGAGATTTGAAGCCGAGTGGGAGCCTGCTGCTGTCCTGAGATTGGAGAGAATTTGGGTGAATATCGGCAGGTTATGGGCTCACGTGGCTGCAGCTCAGAGTTGGTGAGTGGCACCGGGGGCCTCGTCTCAGCCCCTCCTTTGATTTTCACCCATCCCCACCTTCCTGAGCCACTCGTGGCTCCTGGCTAGGGTGGCAGAGAGTGGATGGGCATCCTGGGCACCGGGGAGGGGAGGTGCCACATGGACGAAGGTGCAGGGAACAGCTCCGGTGGCCTGGCAGTGCCAGCGCTTTCCCATCATGGCGTGATCCGCCCAGGCCCCAGCCTCCGGGAGGGGACCCCCACCCCTCCCCACACTCTCAGGCGCCCGCTGTCCCTCCTCCCGCCTCCATGCCACGGGGCCACCATGCTCCTGCTCTGCCCCAGGGGCCGGGTGGTGTGGGGTCTCTGTCACTGCTGGTGTCCCTGTCCTGCCGGAGGAGCAAGCAGCCCGGGGTGGGCGCACATCCAGTCTCTTAATGCCAAGTGTCACCATGTTAGGCCTGTAAAAATGGCCTTAAAATGCCTTAACATTGGAGGAAATGGAGCTAAAACTTGACATTCATCGTGACCAAAATGGAATTGGAAATACGTGTTAAGGCAAGTGGTTAAAAGCTGAGGTGAGTAGCAAGTGTCACGAGCACATGCAGCGAGTCCAGTGCAGGAAGGGGCTGGGGCGATCTCCGGAGCCGAGGGCTCTCCCACCAGGGGATCCGGCTGAGGCTCCTGTCGCTTCATGGGGAGGGGGGCCAGCCTCACAGCCTCCAGGTCCGGAGGCATCTCGCACATTCACTGCAGCCTCGGCCCCCGGCGCCCCCACCCCCCTTGCTCCCCCCGCAGACTCGTGACCACCCGCAGTGAGGCTCCGACCAGGCGGCAGTGCCTTCTGTCTAGGGGCTTAGTGCTTGTGGAGGGGAGCTAAACGTGAGCTGGAAAACGGTGCAGCTCGGCGTCCTTCGATGTGTTGGAGGCTATTTGAATGTTTGCATTTGCTTGGAGATGCAACGGTCAGTAAGCGTACTAACCTTAAGTGCACTGCTTGGTGAATGTTGACAAACACATCCACGTATAAAACTCCCAACAAGATCAAACATACAGCATTTCTCCCATCCCAGAAGAGTCCCCACTGCCTCAGAAGACTCCCTTCGCCCCTTTTCCAGCGGTACCCCCAAGACAAACGCTGACAGCTACCAGTGCGTATCAGTGCGACCTATTCCTGGCCTTCATGTAAATGGGATCTAACAGTGGGGGCCCCTCTGTGCTTGAACGCTGTGTCTGGCACCCTGTGCAGCTCCCACCTAGTCCCCATTCAGGAGAATCATCTTTTCATGCATTAGTTGAAAAACCCTTAACAGATGATTAAATTCTTTGATATCCAAACCAAGAGACTGATGCCCAGAAAAGAGGGGGTGCTTCTGTCGTGAGGTCCCATCTTCTCTCTGGATGGGCGCCAGAGAGAATGTCTCCCTTCTCTCGCTTTCCGCCCACTCCAGAGGACAGCCGCCCAGGCGCTCGGCACAGGAAATCCAAGCTCGGCGCTGCTGGCAGGTGAGGGCTTGTTGGTCACAGGACCTCAGGGAACCTTACCGCAGTCGTTCACTTTACAGCTAAGAACACAGCCGTTGAACAGGAACCACGAATGGAGCAGGTCACAGCATACGTGACAGGGTTTGAGAGCTGACGACAAAGGTCTCCTAAGTTTTTATCTCCTGGGGCCTGACCTGCTCCAGTTTCTTTTTTTTTTCCCCCCCAATTTGTGGTTCTTTGTGGTTGAGACAAGAAAACCTCTTTATTATGTAAATATTACCTGTGATGAGTAGCTAGTCAATTTTTTATTGCCCATAATAGTGCAGGCAATGCAAATTATCATATTCTTTAGCTAGTCAATAAGCAAATTCCCGAGAGAAGGCCGTCAGACGGCTGAGCTTGATGGGGGTGAAGAGACCAGTGGTGACGGCATACGGCTTGGCCGGTCGGCAGCTCAGGACCACACGGAAGCACAGCGATGTGGGGGCGCCTAGAGGAGAGAACCACTGGCGTGGAAGGCGCCGTGTGGCTGTCACTTCCTCCCAGGGCCCGCCGTTTCCTGTCCCTCTGCGGCTGGTGGTCTGTGTGGCTTTTATGAATGATGTTGGTCTGAACATTCGTGCGCAGGTTTTTAGGTGGGATAGTTATTGTTGTTCTCCCCTCTTTACAGGTGAGGAAACAGGCTCAAAGGGCCTAGACGGGTTTTGTAGTGTCACATGACTACTAAAGGTGGCAGGTCTCCCTCCCTTGCGCCCATCCACAGGGCTGTACCCCGCATGCTGGAGGCGACCTCTGTGGGGCAGTCACCCAGCCCTGTGCCTCCTTGTCAGCTCTCCGCCAGGTCCCTGGCCTGCTGTGGCCATGCAGGGCAGGATCTGTGCTCGGCTTGGGGGTGCCTGGGTGTAGGCGGCGGGGAAGCAGGAGGCGGCAAGGGGCTGGTAGGCACAGGCCCTCCTGGGCGGGCGGGTACCAGGTCGCTGTCCTCCAGGAAGGATGGGGTGACAGAGGCCTTTCTAGGCGATTCTCAGAAAATCTTTGGGATGGATTCTGGTAAAATTTCCTGGAGTAAGAGAGTAAGTGAGAAGGATGTGTCTGCTTTAATTTGGATTATTAATGGAAATGTGACCTCAAAGTCTAATGAAGTCTGAGAAACATTGTCATTAAAAAGGGGGAATTGATTTTTGGGAGAAAGTGTACCGATTGACTCCTTAGCAGAAATGTTCTGTCGGTGGAGCTTTGACAAAAGTAGTTCAGAAATCCAGAAATGAGTGTCACATGTTAAACTTCACAAATGTGATGAAATGGGGAAGGAGGACTTTGTAATCCTCTATAAAGATGGGACTCAAACTGGGGGCCCACATGGACAAGCCGAGCTGCTGTTTGGTGCCCGCTGCCAGGATGGCTGCTGGCAGGGTGAGGCCCCCCACTTGGCACGGGGAGGAGGGGCCAGGGGATCAGGACTACTGACACCTCCCAGCCCCGGAGGGGAGCCAGCCAGGCCTTGGCAGA